AGGAGGCTGAAGAAGATGTGGTGCCAGAGGCAGGGATTCAGTCAGGGCCTTCAGAACCTCCAGAGGCTCCCTTAAGTGAAGAGGATGAAGAGAAGGAGCCTCTTCTCAATGCACAGGCGCGCAGAGCTGCCAAAAGGCAGGAGTGGTTCCTCAGCAGGAGGTCTCCTCAAGAGTAAGGCTTGGGGCTAATTGGCCATGCCCTTAGCCTATTTAAGAAAGAACGCAGCTTGTAACAAGCTGCAGGAAACAACTTTAGTTCGCTAATCATCGCGTTGAGATGTCTCTGCAACGTTGCTTCTGGGCTTTCTGCCAACTCCAGTAAGACTCTGACTAGCTTAACTGTGGAATTCTGGCAGGCTGTTAAGAACGCTTATTAACAGCCGGCATTTGCTAAAACTGCGTTATTTGAGTAAACTAAGTTTTGTTCAGAGTTTGTTTGTGCTGTGTTCTTTGGGATCCGTAGCTGGGGCAGAACACCAAGCCTGAGAAATAGGAATCGTGGGAGTGTTTGTAGAGCCAGAATGGTAGGGCCCAACTTATTGTGGGTCCAAGCTTCCATTCTGGGTCCCTTGCAACTCTGGAAAGGTGTGTGTGTGTTTTAAAACAAACGCTCATTTTAAAATATTCTTTGAAAACTGAAATTTCCTGAACTGTTAAGCATAACGGGTTGAAACAAAAGGAAGGCCACGTTTGCAGCAAAGGAAACTCACTGATGTTGTCAAAAGCAGAAGCGCACCCGATCTATGAAAATTAAATTAAAAAGTGCTTATGTGGGGGAGAAAGAGATGAGTCATTGATAAAATTAGAACAGCCCCGGCATCTCTGTGGCATGAAGATGCAACAAAAGAATAATGGATCGAGTTAAAGGTCATTCATGTGATCACATATTTTTTTCTTCTTAGAGGCGGGTTGGAACTTCCAAGTTCATGCACTGTATATATCTATATATAGAGAAGGGCTTAGAAAAACGGCATCGGAAAATCACACAAGATTCTAGCATTCTTGTCTTATTCAGGGACGAGATTCGGTCTGGAATGGGATATTATTTGGAAGGGAGGGAGAAAAGCGTCTTCTCCGTCAATGGTTTGAATCACCAGTAGGCTGTTTCATCAGAAAGGCTATCAGTAGGACAGGGATGTCGAACTTGATTTCATTGAGGGCCGCATTAGGGTTGTATTTGATCTCAGGGGGCTGGGGTGGGCGTGGCCAGGGTGGGTGTGGCCAGCTTGACAGCACTCATGTCGGGGGGTGCCTGTGGCAGCCTGAGCGCTCTGCCAGCGAAAATGGGCTCCCGAGCTCCGTTTTCAGCTCCGACAGCCTCCTGCAACCCTCTGGCAGTGAAAACTCGGCCCTCCCGAGCTCCGTTTTTCACTGGCAGAGGCACCGCGGGCTGGTCCTTCGCTGTTTCCATGGCGGCCCCGTGGGCCAGATCTAAGCACCCGTGGGACTTGAGTTTGACACCCATGCATTAGGAATTCTGGGGAGAAAACAGGAGAGAATATGGTCCATTCTTCCTTTCTTTTGAGGCTGTCTCAACATCTCCAGAAAACGTATGGTCATAAAAGGCCATTTGCTTTTACCTTCAGAGCACTAACTGATGCTTTAGCAAACTGACTGACAACTGCACTTTTATGAAGGAGTAACGACCGCAGGGGTTAACATATGTAGGGATAAGTGGACCGTTTGAGGTGTCTTCCTTCTCTCTTTATTCAACTCTGCATAATATATTCTCTGAAGTGCCCAGTTCACTTTCATTATTTATATCATTTAGGGTTGGGTTATGAAAACATTCCTTACGTAACTTCTAGGCCCGTGAATAAAAGTTGTATGTTTTCCCCAATATGGAAATATGAAGAGCCGGTTTGGTCTAGTGGTTAAAGCACGAGGCTAGAAAGCAGGTGACCGTGAGTTCAACTCCCGCCTTAGCTATGAAAACCAGCTGGGTGACCTTGGGCCAGTCACCCTCTCTCAGCCCAATTCACCTCACAGGTGGGGAACATGGGAGGGGGAAGGAGCAATGTACATGTTTGCTGTCTTGAGTTTTTTATAAAATAAAAAAGGTGGGATAATATAAATGAAAAATTAAAATAAAAAAAATGGAAAGTTCCACCTTTCTTGGAAAGTACTGTTTCTTCAATATGTGGAGAACACATCTGGGGAACCAGATGTTGTTCAGTACTAATTCCTCCGTGTCACGTTCAGCATGGCTAGTGGCAAAGAATAATGAGAGTTGTAGTTCAGTCAGATCTGGAGGACTACAAATTCCCCATTCCTGTCCTAACCCTTTTCTCTTCTTCACCCTCCGGATGGAAATAAACAATATACAACGGCATTAATTCTTTTCCATTCTCTCTTGTCTCATTTGTTCCCTATTGTTCTTCAGGTTATTCTATATGAGTGATGTACGCTTTGTAGAAATGTTAAAATGTAGTATCTTTGGGATGGTGATTACTGATTCTTCGCTTGTACCCTTATCTTCCTGCTACGGTTATCAACAAACATAATACAGGTAGTCCTCGACTTGCAACAGTTCATTTAGTGACCGTTCGAAGTTACAACATCACTGAGAAAAGTGATTTATGTCCGTCTTTCACACTTAACGACCTTTTCAGCATCCCCATGGTCATGTGATCAAAATTCAGACACTTGGCAATTGATGATGGTCATAGCGTCCTGGGATCATTTGATCACCTTTTGCGACTATCCGAAAAGCAAAGTCAATGGGGAAGCCAGATTCATTTAGCAACTGCACAATTGTACAAGTGCAGCGAGGCAAGAAAGGTCATAAAATGGGGCAAAACTCATTTAACAAATGTCTCACTTAGCAACAGAAAGTTTTGGCTCAATTGTGGTCGTAAATCAAGGATTACCTGTAGTGATTGCTGACTTCTAGAAATCTAATAAGGGATGTGGATTCTAATTCAAATTAAATTGGAGCTGAGATACCTGCTAGATCTCTCCACATGGCACAGTCCATGTCACGATCTACTTAATGTATAAAAAAAGAACGTGGATGAGGCTCTGTGAGGACAAATTCTTAAATGTGGTGGCTATTTGGGGTATTTTTCCTTGACATAGACTCAGAGGAAGTCTGATAAATAGTAGTATCTGATTAATATAGTATCTGTATGCTACTAAAACTCTTCATTGTTAGTATGCAAACTGTCAAGTTTCGTGGTCGTCTCGAATAAAATGCATTTCAAACAAAATCTTTGAAGAAAAAATTCCTATTTATTGAGCACGACATCCTAACATGACTCCAAATGAAGCCAACACTGACTTCCTGACCCCAAACCTTCCCTTTCCGTTCCCCAATTCTCAGCGTCCCATTGGCCTTCTTCCAAATCACTCTCCCCATATCTAGTACTTCAGCTCCCAGGAATGTCCCCCCTCCCATCTCATCTCCTAGGGGACATTATCTTCAGGGAAAATAAGTAGGTGAGAAGTCAAGCGTCCTCTTGCCAGCTGCCCCCTCTTCTCCTTCTTATGTCAGCACTAGAGTAAATGCAGGTTGAAGTGCTGACACAACCATTGATTAGCTGAAATGGTACATCATAATATAACAATTTTTGAATCATAGGACCTCAGATCTGGTAATTGTAAACATACACAAAGAACTCATTACTCCTGTGGAATTGAAATTTTGAAGATCTTCAGACCAATTGTATTGACATAGTTGTGGCTGCCACTGTCAGCCGTGGTCATATTATTGGGGTCTATGACAATTCCCCACCGCCAACTCGCTACAACCAACTCACCACGGCCAACTTGCCACCGCCAATTCACCACCGCCAACTCACCACAGCCAATGCCATGGGACAATTGCAGGACAAGAGTTAGACTAATATCAAAGAAATGGTGGAATAGAATCATTAAAGAAAGAATACAAAAGGAGGGACAGAATGAAATGTGAATGACAAAAATTAGAATATTTTAAATTTATTTTAAATAATTAAATAGAATTGTTAAATTGTCTCATGGTGAGTTGTCCTACAGCAAGTTGGCCGTGGTGAGTTATCCCGTGGTGAGTTGGCCATGGCGAGTTGGCTGTGGCAAGTTGTCCCATTCCGCATTATTATGATTTCTGACACTCCCTGCCAGCTTCCCATGAACGAGTCAATTATAGTTTGCCACTATAATTTTTCCATCATGCTGCACTGTCTTTCTCTCAAGGGATGACCCAATGTTCTGTCCCCCTTCCCCACACAGGCAAACACACAACCAGGCACGCCTGCCAAGATTTTATTAAGCAATCAGACTAGAAACCCTTGCAGATAAGAGTTTTGGCAGTAAACTGCGAAATGCCTGCCAAGTCAGTTTTCACTCACAGTAAGCAAGAGAGAGTTTATCCTCAGTCCAATTCAGTAGCAAAAAGTAATCCACGAACCAAGAGTTCGCCAAGGTCCAATCCAAATATGCACAAGCCAGATTTCAGGTAACGCGATGTGACTCTCAGGTTTTTAACTTTGACCGTCACAAAGCCTGAAGAGCAATCACACCCACTTTTATTCCTTGTGGGGTGTGGTTCAGTGACTCAGCTCAATATCTGGCCCTCCCACGGCTCTTTTGTTGCTGCGCACGCTTCTCCCTCCAACGCTGCCTGGGATCAAGTCAGGATTCATCATCCTCGCTCCCTATCTGTTGTTGTTCCGATATGCTTTCCTCCTGGCATATCCCAGGCTGTTCCTCTTGGCCTTCGGATGGAACCTGAGGCATTGCCAGAGAGGAGGGTCCTGGAGAGGGAGGCCTTATTAGTTCCTCCCCATCACCTTCTGAGTCCTCTTCCTCTGTTAGGACAGGCTCGGGAGTCGGGGTCACAACACCCAATGGGCCTTTGGTTGTCTAGTAATAACTAAGGTGCAAGAAGCCATTTGATGGACACCTCTGTTGAATCTTGTCTGAAGAATGAGAAGTTAAAGGTTGAGGTTAAGTGCTCCAGCCATAACAGGTGTCTCTATGTTTCTCTCCTCCTCCCCATTTCCTGTCTGTCATTTTTACAGATCAGCTGTGTCAAAAAGGTCTTGGAGGAGCTAAAACTCCGTGTCGTGGAAGTTACAGATGAGGGAGCCACCCTGGATGGAAGCGATGTGCTCTTTACAGGTGAGTTGGCCCACCATTACTGTGCTCTTTATCCTATAACCGTGATGGCGAACCTATGGCACACGTGCCAGAAGTGGCACGCAGCACCCTCTCTGTGGGCATGCGAGCCGTCGCCCTAGTTCAGCTCTGCTGTGCATGCGCGCACGCCTCCCGCTGGCCAGCTGGTCTTCGGGTCTCTGCCGCGCATGTGCGGGGGCAGAACATGTGGGGGGGCTGCGCGTGCATGCGGGGGGTCAGGGCGCATGCGTGGGTCGCATGCATGGGGCAAAGCATGAGCAGGGGCCGCGCATTGCATTTTGGGGGTTCGTGCGTGCGTGCTTTGGGCACTCGGTCCCGAAAAGATTAGCCATCACTGCCCTATACCATTCCAGACAAATGACAGCCAGTGATGAAAGATCTGATGATGCTGCAGAGCCCAAAATAGATTGATATTTTAAAGCAGAACTGAGCAATTATTTCAGATTTAGAAGTTGCCTTTTGTTTTTGGGGAAAAGTTATTCATTATTTATTCATTCATTCAGTTGATGAGCTTTATTTCATTTCATAGAATGCGGTGAGTCATTCAAATCTGGTAATTTCTGGGATTTCTTGATGTTCTCTGAACTGAACGATTTTCTTCCAGATGTTTCATTACCAGTGTCAGATGTAAATGCCTTATTCTCCAATGTGTAAATAATGTATATATGGAACATCAGAGGTTAATTTATTCTTTGGACTTTAATGTATTCATAACTTACCACTCCCATTCCTAGCTCCACCCCTTGTATATATAAGGAGCCACCCTCACCATTCTAACTGCTTCTACCTTGAATATTCGGTGAATATAGAATGCCTATCATAATTAAAAAGAAATATATTTAAAGCTCTAACTCCTATTATCTTTATTGAGTCTGATCCTGAAAATATTGCAACAAGCTGGTAGCAGAGGATGGTTAATTGACTCAATAAGTAATTAAAAATGTCCAAGAAAGATAGGCCCAACACCAGGGCCTACAGCAAAGAAATAGAAATTGATCAAGAGATGATCAACGAATCCACCAATGCGATTTCGAGAGAATCCGAAGAATACACCACTGAAGAAGAAGAACTAATGAGTGAAAATAATGACCAGAAAGAAATCGAAATAGAAAATAACGAACTCAGGTCAGAGATATTAAAGATACTAAAAAGCCAAAAGAATGATGAAAGTCTCATCGCGGACCTCCAGGAGATGCTGAAGAACAGCGGAGCAGCGAGAGAGAAAAACGTCATTAAAGAAAAACCCAAAGATCAAAAAACCGTAAGTGAGATGACTACTGAGAAAATAGTTGTTAAAAAGAAAAGATGTGATCCCGCGCGAAATTTTGAATGGCAGCCATCTTGGTTTCAACGAACTTCAAAAGAGAATGGAGCAGAGCCAATCAAAACGCTCAGTTCAAAATTTCTGGCGCGAAAAACACTATCAGACGAAGAAAGTGAGAAAGAAGTCTCAAACTCTTCAGATGATCCAAAATCAGAAAGTGAAGACGATTTAACAAAATCTCAAGTAAAATCAGCAATGAAAACACTTTTTGCTGCTTTTGGGCCAAGACTGAAAATTACCAAGACATCTACGAAGAAGCAAGAAATCAAACCGGCGACTCAAGACCTGCACGCTCCCATCCTGACTTCGAAAGCGACGACGCCTGAGCCCAGAGAGCCATGCCGATTTCGCCCTACACCACAGACAAGATCGAATACCAACGCACACAAAAAGAAGAAAAGAACCGTCGCCACCACCAGAACCCCAAAAACCGAGCCAGAGACCGACTCATCTGAGGAGGAGCGGATCGAGAGAGCTGAAAGGGAGAGAACCTTCCACGACGCCACCAAAGAAGAAATGAGCAACGCGCATGTGCGAAACTACGTAGACGACCCAGAAGGACTTGAACTGGCCAGAGAACCGCGCAGACTCATTGCAAGCATCCCAATGCCGTTCTGTAATTTCCTGCACTTGAGAGATCACGGACTGCCCCAGGTTGTAAGTAATGGACAGAATAATGTAGGTAACTTACCCAGTGACTTCCCAAAACTTAGAATTGATGGCATTAATTTACAAGAGTGGTATCAACAGCTTCAGGTTATTTTCATGAAAGAAAATTTACTATTCTTTATAACTAGCCCTCCAAGAAGACCTTGGACTTTAAAAATAGATTGTTTACATCATAGAGCATTTTTCATAATAATATCTAGCGTGTCTCCTGCAATGTATCATAGCATCAAACCAAACCTAACTGTATCAGAAATAATTCAATGCATGTTTAATCTATTTCACAGCGATAGCGTAGCTACAACCACAAGAATGTCTAAGGATTTCTTTTCCTCTAGAGTAAAACCAGGGGTTTCTATAAGTGAGCATTTGATAAATCTAAACAAAATAAGAGCTGAGCTACAATTGAGGGGGGAAGTGATTTCAGATCAAACAATGAAAAGTGTTATTATCAATTCACTTGATCCATCATGGGATAGCTTTATGTCACACTTAGATACCATTAATTTGGGATATTTATCCATAGAAAGTCTATCTAACAAATTGATAGCAGAAGACAATTCAAGAAAAAATCGATCCAGTAACCAAACAGACCACAAACCTTTTAGGAAAGTAGTCTTTCAAGATAAACATAATGAGGCCTTTAGATGCTACAATTGTGGATCCAGGGAACATAGTAGAAGAGACTGTCCCAAAGTCTCAAGAGAGAGACATAGGCCAGAATATAGGAGCAAATATAATTACAGACAATCTTCCACAGATAGACACAAATATAGAAGTCCACCAAATTACAAAGAAGGTAGAGGGGGTAGAGAAAATTCAAAAGAGAGGAAATCTGGGTCACTGAATGGGCTAAATAAACAAGACAGCACCAGAACACAGCAGGATGAGAATAACAATTGGCTTATTGATTCTGGTGCAACAAATCACACCACCAACAACAAAAGTATATTATCTTCATTTATAGAAGATAAGTTTGTGATAAAGGTAGCTAATCAAGAAAAGGTTCAAGTACTAGGCAAAGGAAATGTGACCTTGCCTGGTCTAGGGAAAATAGAGGGGGTATTATTAATCCCAGAAATACCTCACAACATACTAAGTGCCATAAAATTAAGCAGAGAATCTGATATCAATATAGTTTTCTCAAAAGGGAAAGCAACTATAGAAAAGAACAAAACAAATGTAGGTACTGTAATGATAAAAGGAGGTCTACCCTATCTGATAACTAAAGAAAGATGTTTACATAACATTGATTCAAATATGGAAGATTGTATTGAAGCAGATGATGAAAATGTCAGTAACAGTGACAATGATGAGTGTAGAATAACTCATGATCACAAAAATACATACAAGGAAAAGAAACCAAAAATAGGTAAACCAATTCATGATGAGTGTGCTCACATCTTACACAGGAAGTTAGGACATGCAAGCTTTCCTGTAGTACAAAAAATGACTGAACACGCAGAAGGTGTCAAAATAAAAAATTGTGAAAATTATTTGGAATGCTCAGTATGTAAATCCACCAAACTAAAAACCAGTCCCAGACCAAAAAAATCTAACAGATCAACTAACAATATTTTTGATTTGGTACATATGGACTTAGTTGGTCCATTAAGTCCCTCAATTACCTATAGAAAACGTTACTTCCTAACAATAGTGGATGACTACAGCCGATATGGTTTTGTTTACACATTAAAGCACAAGGATGAAACATTTCAGAAATTTAAGGAATTCTACAAACGTATAGAAACACAACATAATATCAGAATAAAGCAAATTATGACAGATAGGGGATGTGAGTTCATGTCTAAAGAATTCTCCCAATGGTTAAAGGATAGAGGAATGTTACATTTCACGTCCAATCCTTTTTCTGCATTTCAAAATGGAGTTGCAGAGAGGAAAAATTCCACACTACAAACCATGATTAGGTGCACATTAGAGGATGCTGGTTTAGGCAAACAATTTTGGTCAGAGGCATTACATTATTCAAATTACACTCAAAATAGAACCTGGTCCAGTATTGTGAATAAGACACCATATGAGGTGATGTACAATAGAAAACCCAAATTATCACACATGCACATATTTGGAGTCACTGCAGACGTACACATACCTAAACAATTGAGGAGAAAGGGAGAAAACGTATCCAGGAGATTAAGATTCATGGGATACGAAACTGGAACCAAAGGGTACAGATTTATTGATAGTAATAACAAATTTATAGTATCCAGAACAGCTGTGTTCCATGAACAGGCCAATTGGTCAAAATTGCACCTTAATGAAATATTTCCTAATAAATGTAAAGATACGATATCTTGCGAGGAAGGAACAACAGAAAATCAAAATATTAACAAAAGTAAGAACAAAATCAAAACTTGGACTAATAGTCAGCATAAAATAAAGACAGACACATTAACAAAGAAGGAAGCTAGATATTTGCATGATAACCATAGCAAGCCTGAAAGAACTATTAGAAACAATAGAAACCAAATACCAAATAAATACAAAGACTACATAATGCATATGAATGGAGAACAAATAACACCTAATACATATGAAGAAGTATTGAAACTTCCACATGAAGAAAGAGAAAAATGGGAACTAGCTATGGAAAAAGAGATGGAAAGTTTACAAGGATTAAATGTATTCACACCTGCGATCGCACCTAAGGATAAAACAATTATAGGTACCAGGTGGATTTATAAAATTAAGAACTTAGAAGGAGGCAATACCTTATACAAGGCTAGACTAGTTGCACAAGGCTATGCACAAAAATACCCAGAAGACTATACTGATACATATTCACCCACAGTGAGAACAGAGAGTGTCAAAACAGCCCTTGTAGTAGCATCTGCACTCAATCTGGACGTATTCCAATATGACATACAGACCGCATACTTACATGCAAAATTAGATAAGGAAATATATGTAAGAGCACCACACAGTCAATACACTAATAAGAACGAAATTTGGTTATTAAATAAGAGTCTGTACGGATTAAAGCAATCCGGCAAAAGATGGTACGATTGCTTGGTAAAAGTACTTAAGACCATGGATTTCAACGCCACCACTGCTGATAACTGTTTCTTTGTAAAAAAGAGTAATGATCATATTGAATTTGTATTAATTTACGTGGACGATATTTTATACATTGGAAAGCATAAAGAGAGCAGGGAAATCTTTGTAAATAAGTTAAATGAACACTTCTCACTGAAATCTCTGGGTAAAGTGAATAAATACCTTGGTGTGCAAATTAACAAAACTAAAAGGGGATTCAAACTTACACAGAAAGATAAAATCATCGAACTCCTAAACAAATGTAACTTAAATAATGCCAAAACCTGTGACACCCCTATGCAAACTGATTTTCTTAGAAACACTGATGAATCTTCCCCTGAGTTTAAAGACAACACATTTTACAGATCAGTTATAGGTTCACTCCTTTATATATCTAATTGGACTAGGCCAGATATTGCATTACCTCTCAATCTACTGTCAAGATATGTTAGTAAACCAACCTTGTATCATTGGGAAGCTGTCAAGAGAATTCTAAGATATCTGAAGGGTACATTAGATTTTTGTTTAATGTTGGAACCCAATAATGACAGAGAACCAAAAATTACTTGTTATGCTGATGCAGATTGGGCTGGTGATACATCATGCAGAAAGAGTACTTCTGGTTATGTTTTTCTATTGAATGATTGTCCAGTTTACTGGTATACTGGTAAACAAGAACTAGTAGCCACTTCTACTACAGAAGCGGAATATGTTTGTTTGTCCAAGGCTGCAAATAACCTTGTATGGTTCAATGATCTGATCACTGATGTTTGGAAGAAACCCACTTTACCATTTATTATGCATGAAGACAATAAAGCGGCCATTGAAATATCCAGATCCGATGCAATTGGACAAAGGTCCAGGCATATTGATATAAAGTTTAAGCATGTGAGACAACTGTCTCAAGACGGATTCATTAAAGCAATACATTGCGATACTTCTGAACAATTAGCTGACATATTAACAAAACCCTTACCTTCTAAACAACACAAATATTTAACTTCTAAATTATATGTATTATATTGTCCTGAATCAGAATGTAATTGGTGTTGTGTAACGAACCGGCATTTAGAGGGGGATTTGTCAGATGTAAATGCCTTATTCTCCAATGTGTAAATAATGTATATATGGAACATCAGAGGTTAATTTATTCTTTGGACTTTAATGTATTCATAACTTACCACTCCCATTCCTAGCTCCACCCCTTGTATATATAAGGAGCCACCCTCACCATTCTAACTGCTTCTACCTTGAATATTCGGTGAATATAGAATGCCTATCATAATTAAAAAGAAATATATTTAAAGCTCTAACTCCTATTATCTTTATTGAGTCTGATCCTGAAAATATTGCAACAACCAGGTTTGGTAACACCATCAGTGCAATGTTAATGAAGCATTTGCAGGAAAACAACCAGAGAACATCAAGGTGCCAGCAGTTTAATCCAGAGCTGCATATATATTCTCAACTATTGAAATTTGATAATGTACCGTATTTTTTGGAATATAAGACGCACCTTCCCCCCCCCCCAAAGTGGGTGAAAATTTTGGTGCATCTTATAGACTGAATATGGACATTCTTGGCCTTCCGAACCCTCTGCGCCAGTGGTGGGTTGCCCCCGGTTCACACTGGTAGTAAAACTGGCAGGAGGCCCCACCCACCGACCCCCAACGTCACCAAAACACTTCTGTGCACGGCCCCGCTGTGAACCTGTAGTAAAGGTAAGTAGAACCCACTCCTGCTCCGTGTGTCCCAATTTTGCCCTCCCCAGCCCCCAGAAGGACTCTGTAGTGCTCCGCACGGCCCGTTTTCGCCAAAAACGGGCCAAAAACAGACCTGTTTTGGGGCTTCCAAGCTCTCCATGTATCGCCTTTTTGCCCTCCCCGGCCCCCAGAAGCACTCTGCAGGCCAAAAACAGGTGTGTTTTTGGTGAAAACGGGCAATGTGAAGCACTGCAGAGTACTTCCGGGGGATTGGGAGGGCGAAAACGCGATAATGCGGAGGCCAAAAAATATCTTTTTTGTTTTCCTCCTGTAAATTTAGGTGCATCTTATAGCCTGGTGTGTCTTATAGTCCAAAAAATACGGTATATGGACAGGGTCAAGCTTGCCTAGGTTTTTTTTTATTTTATTTTAAGGTTGGACAGGTAGCTCTTAAAAATGTTAAACTGCATTAGTTTTTCTGGGTTTCCTTCCTAAAAAAAGATGGGAACTAACACTATTGAATTTTAATAGTGTAAGAAAGCATTTCAGAGAACACGAAAAAGAGGGCTGGAGGCCACCTGAAACCATGGGGCTGCAAATTAACTCACCCTACTATTAACAGCTGAGTGACCTTGGGCCAGTCATTTTCTCTCAACCCTAAGAAGGGGGCAATGGCAAACCGCTTTTGAAAATCTTTGCCAAGAAAACTGCAGGGACTGGTCCTAGCAGTCTCTAAGAATCAGACGTGATTGAACAGAAGGAAAAAAATATCACATCAACAGCATGTTTTAGGAGTGAACTTGTTCAAAGGCAGTCCTCTTTCTTATATAGGACCATCCTACCTGTTAAGACTTTTCTAGTGAAATGTAATGCTTAGTTTTGGTCAGATTTGAGCTGCACAGGTAGTTCTCGACTTACAACGGTGAAAAAAGTGACTAACAGCCGTTTTACACAGTTAACAACCCTTTGTAGCATCCGCATCAGTGGTGGAATTCAATTTTTTTTACTACCGGTTCTGTGGGCGTGGCTTGGTGGGCACGGTGTGGCTTGGTGGATGTGGCAGGGAAGGATACTGCAAAATTTCCATTCCCACCCCACTTCAGGGGAAGGATACTACAAAATCTCCATTCCGACCCCACTCCAGGGGAAGGATACTGCAAAATCACCATTCTCTCCCCACTCCAGGGAAAGGATACTGCAAAATCTTCATTCCTACCCCGCTCCAGGGAAAGGATACTGCAAAATCCCCATTCCCACCCCACTCTGGGGCCAGCCAGAGGTGGTATTTACTCAAAATTTCCACTACCAGTTCTCCAGAACCTGTCAGAACTTGCTGGATTTCACCCCCGATCCCCATGATTATGTGATCAAAATTCAGATGCTTGGCAACTGGTTCACACTTACGACCATTGCTGTGTCCCAAGGTCATGGGGCAAAACTCAACAAATATCTCACTTAGCAAGAGAAATTTTGGCCTCAGTTGTGGACATAAGTCGAGGACTGCCTGGAGGCTTCTCCAGTCTGGGGAGAGCTTCTTAAGTGCCATTCATCCTGTTCTCCACCTTTCTTTTCTCTTCCACAGGTAGAGAGTTCTTCGTGGGTATTTCCAAATGGACCAATCATAGAGGAGCAGAGATGGTAGCTGATGCTTTTAGAGTGAGTTGACTTTCTTAGAATGGGCCATCCACATAACCCAAAGATATATTTATATATGGATGCTGGTATACCCTGGATACTGTTCTCGGTTTTGCTTCTCCCGTAATCTATATTCTATATTGAACAGTGTCAATTTTGAGAGTGTCAGGGGAAAAACCGGATTATGAGCATAGTTGTTCTTAATAACAATTGAACAGACAGCACACCACAAAAGCCTCAATTTTAGGATTCAGAGGTTTATTAGAATTTAAAGCCTAGCAAACATAAACCACTTATATTAATTGCATTGCAATGAGGGTCAATCAGACAAGCAGTCAAAAGGGATGGCTTGAGGCCGATTGGCAGCTTCCCCATTATTCAACATTTCATTATATATCTTAAAACCACAAAATCGCATGACTTTCAGGATTCTGCCAGCTTCTCCTAGCAACAGGGCTAGTTGTCCATTCCTCCAACCTAAATGCTACAACATGGTTAGCCTTGGTGGTGCAGCGGACTAAGTGCTGTTATGTAGCACTTAGCTGCCAGCTGCCTGCAATTAGTGCGAGTTCAAATCTCACCAGGCTCAAGGTTGTCTCAGCCTTCCATCCTTCCGAGGTAGGTAAATTGAGGACCCGGATTGTGGGGGCAATAAGCTGACTTTGTAGAAACACCGCTTATGGGGGGCCAAAAGCCCTAATAAGTAGGTATATACAAAAGAATGAAGGCTATTGCTATAAGTGCATTGTAAGCCGCCCTGAGTCTTCAGAGGAGGGCAGCATATAAATTGAATTAATTAATAAATAATAAATAAATAAATTTTTCACATGTACTATTTTTTCCCAAGAAGTTTTTGTTTTTATTTCTCATAAACATATTTAAATGTACAATCTTTTATCCATCATTTTTCATTCATCTTATCTTTTAACTTTCATTTTTAGTTGTTTGGGGCTGCTCTTTTACCATTTATCCCCCTTTATTTTACCACAACTTTTCCACTTCTCCTCCCCTTCTCTTCCTTCCTCCATCTCTTCCTCCTTTCTTTGTTCTTCCTCTCCTTTAAGTGCACACTTCCTCTTTGCCCACAACATTTTGCAAGCTAAGCAACTGCCAGTGTTGCAAAGGACCATTTTGACATACATAAAGGTCACAAGTTCAGCACCCAGATTAACACTGATTTTATTTCAGACTCTTCAGTCCTTAATATACATGATAGTGCAGGTAAGTAGGCCTTTATTAAAAAACAAAGGTATACATTAAAAAAAAAATCCCTTACAAGAGAATAGCATGATGTAGAAACAATAATGATAGTAAAAACATTATATTATATTATCGGCCAAACAATGTCGACTGGCGGCCCCCAGGGGGAGAGCCTTCTCTGTGGGGGCCCCCGCCATCTGGAATGAGCTCCCCCCGGAGATACGGAGGATCCCGGACCTGCGCGCTTTCCGCCGTGCCATCAAAACATTTCTTTTCCAGCAGGCCGGCCTGGCCTAACCTCTCTTTTAAACTTTTTTAAAATTTTGAAATTCTTCAATTTTAAATTTGTCTTATGAAGTTGGGGTGTTTTAAATTTCATTTTCCGGGCCAATTATTTAATTGCATTTTAATGGTTTTTTAACATTTGTATTATATGTATTTTATTTGGCTGTTCACCGCCCTGAGTCCTTCGGGAGTAGTTTGGTATACAATACATAATAATAATAATAATAATAATAATAACAACAACAACAACAACAACAACAACAACAACATCTCAAAGATACCCAAAAGATACTTTCTTGGTTTTTTTCCCCTTGAAAACGTTTCGCTTCTCATCCTTCTTCGGTTCTTGTATGAGAAGTGAAATGTTTTTTTTTTAAAAAAAAAAACACAAGAAACTTCAGTTGCCTTTTGGAAAGCACCTTTGAGACAACTGTGACATACATAACTTTTCCAAACTGGGATTTTTTTCCATTTTAGGGGGAATTTCCTCCCCCCCACAAAGAGCTCCTGTGAAGATGCTCGTGGTAGGGGATTCTGAAACATGTTTTAAGCAGCCTTTCTCAACCCAATAACCCATTGCAGAGTTCAGTGCTCTTTAACCCAACCCAGTTAATTGAGAATAATAGGGATGATAGTCCAAAATGGGTGGCAGGCAGGTGGCAAATACCTCACAAGGACTGCAAAACTCAGTGTTTGCTGTTAGCTTTGAATGCTTTAAAATGGAGAACTTCAGGAATACAATCCAGTGTATACAGCTAGACAATGATGATGTCCGTTTCCATCTGTGTTTCCATCCCCCAAAGAACGGGGTTCCCAATTCACCCTCTAGAACACAGCCTTGGTGGCTTAAATATATGTGGACTTCAACTCCCAGAATTCCCCTCTAGAATAGTGTTTCATAGCAATGGCGGCTTAAGGATGTGTGGACTTCATTTCCCAGAATTCTTTCGCCAGCCATGAGGAAACACTGCTCTAGAATGTCATCCTCATCAGAGATATGCTATATGATTCACATGTGAAGGATTTCTGGTCTGAAACAGATGCTGTGGGTCCAGAGTTCCCTGAAAGTGCTCCAGCCTTACCCAAAGTGATCATCACCTTCATTTAACAACCCCATAATCCCTTGTGGGGTGGAGTCTGGGCAACTGAATGGAGCTAGCAGAGTGTTTTAATGGCCAGATGCCCTTCCTGTCGCCAATGCGGAGTTTTGTTCAGCAGATATATTCTCAGTGTGCCCAGATAGAGAAATATCTGCCTCTACCTAGGATTGAACTCACAGCCTCCTGATTGTGAGGTGACAGCTCCACCTCTAGGCCACCGCACCACTCCAGGCATACCCAAAGTGATCCATGCTTGAAAGGATTCAACATTTTTGTACTTCTCTAATTCCTATTTCAGAAGTCTGCCCGAACCCACCAGGAAATGTCTGAATTCAGTTGAATTCAGATATCTCATGGGTTTTCAAGGTGGACCATTTGGTGATGGGCATTGAAACCCAATAGTTCTCAGCGGGCCTCAAATTGTGAAGTGTGATTTATATATACTGTTCAAGTGGTCTTCCGGGTGTGCTTCAAGGTTTTGGTTACCACCTTTAGAGCGCTCCATGGCTTAGGACCTGGTTATTTACGGGACCACCTGCTGCCGCAAACGGCCTCCCACCGGCCAGTACGCTCTCACAGAGAGGGACTCCTCCGGGTGCCGTCAGCCAAACAATGTCGGCTGGTGGCCCCCGGGGGAGAGCCTTCTCTATGGGGGCACCTACTATCTGGAACGAGCTCCCGGAGATACGGAGGATCCCGGATCTACGCACCTTCCGTTGCGCTCTAAAGACCTTTTTATTTCACCAAGCTGATCTGGCCTAACCTCTCCCATTCTCTTTTTAATGTAAATTTTAATGTAAATTTTAATTTGTTCTTAACCTGGGGTTTTAAATTTGTCTTGGGCTAAATTGATTTAATTCGATTTTACTTTTGCTCTTAAATTTTTGTATTCTATGTGTTTTATCTTGTGCCTGTTCACCGCCCTGAGTCCTTCGGGAGTAGGGCGGTATATAAATAAAAAAAAATGAAAAGTGAGGTTAAGGGTAAAATCACGTATTAGATAGGAGGTATGAAAGAGAAGAGATGTTCTGCAGAGGCCCCTGAACCTCTGCAGAAGTTCAAGCAGTGTTCTCTTCCTGCAGGATTTTGCTGTGTCTACCGTTCCTGTCTCAGGCACGTTGCATCTCCGCAGTTTCTGCAGCATGGCGGGACCTGACACCGTTGTCATTGGCAGCAGTGAAGTGGCCAAGAAAGCCATGAAGGTAATTCCTGGAACCGCCAAGGTCTTTTCCTTAAAGAGCCTTCAGGTTCGTGGGACGATCCTCTCCTAGGAAAGAACCAGCGGTGGGTTTCAGAAATGCTTACCACCGGTTCGCCGTACGCACACTCGCTTTGGGGACACGCCTTCTGCGCATACACCCAGCCTCAAAAATGTGGCTAAATAGGACATCTTCACGCCAGGGTGGGTGGGCAGGCAGAACTGGTTCGAACTGGCTGAATGTCACCTCTGGAAAGAACCCTTCTTCCATTCATCCCCGTTCCCAAAATGTCCTTGCCCATTAACCATCAATGCTGATAATTGTAGAGGACAAGGAATTTCTTGCAGATAAGTCATCCTCTCTGGAAGAGAAACAAAGCAGGCTGGCAGAGAGGTCACTGCTCCGTTTCATGCCCGAAGGAATGCAGTATAGGTAGTCCTCGACTTATGACTGGTTGCTGAGCAACCGTTTGAAGTTACCACAGACCAAAAATAAAAAATGATACAAGCCAGATTCAAAGTTTGGGAGGCCATCCCTATCCCCACAGTCACATGATCAGATTTACGGCAAGGGCGCGTACCAAATCCCGTCGCTACCGGTTCGCGCGCGGGGTGCTTCTGCACATGTGCAGAAGCATCTGAGCAGGTGGGTGGAGCCTCCCACTGCCACCGCTACTGGTTTGCCCGATCTGGAGTGAACCGGTAGCAACCCACCACTGATTTACGGCTATCTACAGTGTCCTGCAGTCTCAGGATGGTGATTTATGATATTTTTCTGTGTGGAACAATTGTTTATTTCTAATTTCCGGCCAAAAAAAAAAAAGCCGATTGTAGACAGTTTAATGATTGTTCCAAATATATATATATATGTAAAATCGGGTCGGTCCTGTGATGACCCACTTAACGACTGGCACAACTTATGACCATAAATCTGGGCTCAATTATGGTTGTAAGTTGAGGCTCACCCGTAAGCTCCACAGAAAATTCTGTCCAATCTCTGACAGGCAAAGAAAAAAAAATGTTTTTTTTGTTTTGTTTTATGGTTTTATTTTCAAAGTTGCGGGCATATTTTCCATCACACAGCAGACACTTTGCTTGTTCCTTGGACACTTTGGAGGTTGGCTAAATAAAGCTCAGTGTGGGTTGCTGCCCACCCAGTAACTAGCATGACTTTCCTAGAATAGCTGTTCCAGTTTCTCAAGCAAAGGCCTGTCAGTGATAATCATCTCCAGCGCCCATTAATTCAAGAGATATACTGCCTTTGGACAGGAAGATTTAATTTTGTTTTCACAATTGGTTAGTATTCACAGCCTTATTCTCCATGAATCTCTCCCTATCGGAGGCTGCTTTGGGTTTTATTGTTTGATTAAAAAAAGAACAGACCAAAGCTTTTTATAAATAATCGTTTCCTAATATCTTGCTGAGGTACATTCTGCAGAATGATCCTGCTTCAAGGGGAGATTGGCTTGTCCTCACAGTCCCGAATTGATCCCTGTTTTGGTTCTTTTACATACAAGTAGTCCTCAACTTATGACCACCACTGACCCCCAAATTTCTGTTGCTAAGTGAGATAGTTGCTAAGTGAGTTTTGCCCCATTTTACCTTTTTTGCTAAGGTGGTTGAGTGAATCACTGCCGTTGTTAAATAGTAACATGGTTGTTAAATGAATCTGGCTTCCCCATTGACTTTGCTTGTCGGAAGTTCGCCAAAGAGGATCCCGTGATCCCGCGGATGCTGCGACCGTCATAAATATGAGCCAGTTGCCAAGCATCCAAATTTTGATCACGGGACCATGGGGATGCGGCAACAGTTGTAAGTGTGAAAAACGGTCGTAAGTAAGTGAGTCATTTTTTTCAGTGCCGTTGCAACTTCAAACGGTCACTAAATGAACTGTTGTAAATCAAGGACTACCTGGATCTGATATAGGAAGGCAGTTTTTTTTAAGTTTCCCTCAGAAAGAAAAAGGAAAGCTGGAAATGAATCAAAGGTGCTTTTTCAAGAGGCAACTGGATTTTCTGGTTTTTTTTTTGAAGACGTTTTGCTTCTCATCCAAGAAGCTTCTTCAGCTCTTCTTCGAAGAGAAGCTTTTCTCCTTCAAAGAAGCTTCAAGGAAGCTTTTCTTCTTCAAAAGAAAAACCAGAAAGTCCAGTTGGCTCTTGAAAAAGCACCTTTGGGGCAACCATGACCCGGATGATTGAGAATCTCCAGAGACATTTGGAAATGAACCAGTTCAAGAAAGAGTGGAATGAGGATGGGTAGGGGAGACAAAATGAAAATTACGTTTTCGCTGCAATCTGGATTAGAGCTGTAGATGAGTTGAGTTTCTCTAACCCCCCACCGCCCATCTCTTTTTTTCTGAAGACCATGGAGCAATTAACTGATCACCACTACGAAACGCTGACAGTTCCTGATGACCCAGCTGCTAATTGTATCTACGCTCGTCTGGGCCAGAAGAGTAGCGTCCTTTTGCATCGCAGCACAGAAGAATATCCGAACAGTGTGCAAGTAAGACGAAGGGGAGACTTGGGTCTCATGGAAAGGATGGGGACAGGGGTGGGCTTCATAAATTTTAACAAGGGGTTCTCTGCCCGATTGCTGGGTGGGCATGGCCATGGTGGGTGTGGCCTAGTAGGCCTCCTGCACCATGGTGGTGGTGGTGGGCATTTTTGCCCTCCCTGGGCTCTGGAAGCTCTCCTTGAACCTCCGGGATGGCGAAAATGGCCTCCCCAGGCTCCGGATGCCCTCTGGAGGGCCCATTTCCGGCCTCCCCAAACTTCTGGTAGGCCCGTTTTTCGCCCTCCCTGAGCCTCCGTGCACACCCTGCACTTACCTGCATCCAAAATGGGTCATGTGGGGACTCCTGGGAGGGGGGGGGCGGGGGGGGCGGGGCCAGCCAGGAGTGGGATTTGGGGGGTTCTCCGAACTGCACAGAATCTTAGCTAGAGGTTCTCCCGAATCCCTGCGAACCCCCAGCAGCCCACCCCTGGGTGGGGGGCTTTTGGGAATGCAATGGGTTCTATCTGCAGCATTTGATTGATTGATTATGTGCCATCAGCTTGTTTTGAAACTTAATGACGACAGAGGTGGACCTTTTCCAGAATTGTTTGGCCCTTCAGGACTTTCAAAGGTGGACCCATCACCACTGCTGGTCATCCTCTTTCTTTCACTTTTCCCATAATTATCAATTTCTCAACAACAACAACAAAAAATGTACTCAAGGGAAGCTCTATAGACAATCCTCGGCTTGCAACCGTTTGAATTTACAAAAGATCAGCCAAAAGCTACTTATAATCTGGTTCTGAAATTGTAGTGTCTGTCCCCCTGGCCATGTGACTGCGGGTTAGGACTTTTCGGCTCCTACCCTTGGCTGCACCTGCTTCTCCACCAGGATTCTGCCTCGGTGGGATTCTCCTCTAGCTTTTCTCCTTGGCTGACACACACCCATTCATTTGCCCTGGCCAGTGGGCCATGGCCCCTCCGTCCCACACGCTTTGGCAACAGTGTGGCATTGAATGGGCCATGCCGAAGCGTGTGGGACAGAGGGGCCGTGGCCCACTGGCCAGGGCAAATGAGCAGGGGCATGTCAGCCGAGGAGAAAAGCTAGAGGAGAATCCCGAGGCGGAAGCCTGGCGGAGAAGCAGGCGCGGCCAAGGGTAGAAGCTGAAAAGTCCCATTCCGGTGACCACAGTTTGGATGCTCGGCAACTGGCATAAAACATCCATCTTAAGTAAACCAAAAGATCCAGGAGCCCAAGAAGAAAAAACAGGAATTATCAACAATACATAATGTAAAGACTGTAAGAGCCACTATGGACAGGAAGAAGGCTATTTATTTATTTTAGAAAATTTATATAGCTGCCTATCCGCTTACTCTAAGTGGCTTACAGATGATAAAAACACAATGTAGAAAAAATAAAAATAATAAAAAATAAAATAATAATAAAATAATAAGCCCCCACCCTAGACTAGCAGAGTGCATCCATGAATACCAACCTAGAGAACAATGGTGAAATCCAATTTTTTTTACTACTGGTTCTGTGGGCGTGGCTTGGTGGGCGTGGCAGGGGAAGGATACTGCAAAATCCCCATTCCTTTCCCACTCCAGGGTAAGGATACTGCAAAATCCCCATTCCCTCCCCACTCTGGGACTAGCCAGAGGTGGTATTTGACAGTTCTCCGAACTACTCAAAATTTCCGCTACCAGTTCTCTGAACCGCTCAAAATTTCCGCTACTGGTTCTCCAGAACCTGTCAGAACCTGCTGGATTTCATTCCTGCTAGAGAATGAGTTTGTTCTAGTGGTTAAAACACCAGGCTAGTCCCGCTTTAGTTAGGGAAGCCAGCTGGGTGATTTTGGGTCAATCACACACTCTCAGCCCAATCCACCTTACGGGATTGTTGTTGTGGGTAACATAGGAGGAGGAAAGAGTATTAGGAATGTTCTCTGCCTTGAGTTATTTATAAAAATAATAAAGACAGGCTAAAAATAAACTAGCTGTCAGAACACACAATGAAAATTACTTAATCTCATAACGCTTGGACAGGCTCAATTTTAGTTTCAACTGGGAAACTATGAGCACCCTTGACCGAGCTAAATCAAAAAAGTTCTAGGGAATTTCTGGAAGCCTGGCATTCAGAAAAATCAGTCATCACAGAGATAAACCACATTTACACACTATTAAAAAAGAAACAATAAAAAGCTAAGAAAGGAACAAAAATAGATAGATAGATAGATAGATAGATAGATAGATAGATAGATAGATAGATAGATAGATAGATAGATAGATAGATAGATAGATGATAGATAGGTGGGCTACTGGGGGTTCACAGGGGTTTGGGAGAACCTCTAGCTAAGATTCTATACAGTTCAGAGAACCCCAAATCCCACTCCTGGCTGGCCCCACTCACCCCACCCTGCCCCTCCCAGGAGTCCCCACGCGGCCCGTTTCGGATGCAGGTAAGTGCAGGGCGTGCGCGGAGGCTTTGGGACGGTGAAAAACGGACCTACCCGGCCTCCAGAGGGCCTCCGGATTTGGGGAGGCTGTTTTTGCCCTCCCGGAAGCTCGAGGAAAGCCTCCGGAGCCTGGGGAGGGCAAAAACACCCCCCCGCCATGGTGCAGGAGGCCGACTAGGCCACAACCGCCATGGCCACTCCCACCCAGCAACTGGGCAGAGAACCCCTTGCTAAAATTTTTGAAGCTCACCCCTGGATAGGTAGGTAGGTAGATAGGTAGGTAGATAGATAGATAGATAGGACTAGAACAAATCCTTTCTAGCAGCCAACATCCAGATAAGCAGGGATTAACACCAGACAAATAAGAAACTGCTAAGGAGAAAACTACAACCCCACGAATACTCGCAGGGCAAGCTACTGTATATAAACAGAGAGCAAACCGCACACTCTGTTGCTTTTAATGTTTCTAGTCATATACTGAAACATCTGCAAACAAACAACCAAATTCAGAGAGCACCAAGTTCAACGCTGAGCTACAAATAACTCTCTGCTATTGGGACACATTTGAAATATCAGAAAGGTTCTTATACTGTACATCCTCAAGTACTAATGTGTACTCAGAAAGCTCCCTGGGAACCCATTCCACCTTTTAAAAAAATAATTAAAATTAAATAGGAAACTGGTATAGTGAAAATGAGGTATGTTAAAGGCATTGGTATGATCCCTGCAGTCAAGCCCCAGGCGGTCTGGCAAGATCAAGAAAGCAAGAAGTGCAGATCTCTATAAAGTCTCTTAATCTTGATCTGGAAAAGGTGTTTTTTTTTTAAAAAAAGGCTTAGTTTATTTAAGGGCGCAGGTTTCCATGAACTGCAAGTCACCTCATCCAACCCACTGCTTGTCGAGATCTTGTGAGATAACCTGAGACTTTTTAATGTAACTGAGTTCAGCAATCTCTTGATCAATTTTGATGTTTAAGCAGAATTCTGGGAGTTTCACACACACCTTCAAGTAGCCAAGATAACAGAATAACAAAATTGGAAGGGACCTTGGAAGTCTTCTAGTCCAACCTCCTGGTTGAGCAGGAAACCCTATACCGTTTCAGATAAATTGTTGTCCAATCTCTTCTTAAAAACCTCCAGTGTTGGAGCACCCACAACTTCTGGAGGCAAATTATTCCACTAATTAATTGTTCTAATTGTTAGGAATGTTTACCTTAGTTCTAGGTTGCTTCTCTCCTTGATTAGTTTCCATCCATTGCTTCTTGTCCTGCTTTCAGACGCTTTCGAAAATAGGTTGACGCCCTCTTTTTTATGTCACCCCTTTAGATATTGAAACACAGCTATCATTATCACCCTTAGTCTTTCTTTTCATTAAACTAGGCATACCCAAGGACGGTATTTTTGAAAAAATAGACATTGTTCCTCTCTGGTGTAAGGCAGAGGGGTTGAGATAAAGAAAATATCTGCTACGCCTAATTCCTGCAACTGTTCTTTATAGGTTTTAGCCTCCAGTCCCCTAATCATCTTTGTTGCTCTTCTCTGCACGCTTTCTAGAGTCTCCACATCCTCTTTAAGTCTCATTTTACAGTGGGGTTTTAATCTATCATAAGTGTTGATTATCTACCTCACAATGTAACCTACATTTGCATTAATAACTTGTCTTCAATAGAAGAGAGTATCTGTACCTCAGGGCTGAAATGTGAGGTTCTTGGTGCTCTCTGAGCTTGGGGATTTGCTGGTAGACATTTCCTTACTCAAGTACCATCATTTTATTTTATTGTTTAGCTCAGGGGTCTGCAACCTTAAATACTCAAAGAGCCATTTGGACTCGTTTCCCACAGAAAAGAAAACACCGGGAGCCACAAAACCTGGGTGGGCGTGGCCAACTCGATGTCACTTACTTCCACCAGTCACATGACCCCCTAGCCATGCCTATCCAGCCGGTCATTAGGGCAGAGAACCAGTTGTTAAAAAGCACTGGGAACCACAAAATCCTTTTGACATCTCTCTCTCTCCCCTCCTCCCTCTCTCCCACCCTCCCTCTCTCTCTGTATCTCTCTATGTCTGTCTCTCTCCCCCTCTCTCTGTATCTCTCTGTCTCTGCCCTGGCTGCTTCTCCATCCCCGCCGTTACCCTTACCTTCTCAGGCCAAGCGAGGAGTGACTGGGAGGGGAAGGCGAGGGGCGGGGCCAGCCAGTGGTGGGATCACCTGACAGGGAGCCACAGCAGAGGGCCCAAAGAGTTGCATGCGGCTCCAGAGCCACAGGTTGCTGACCCCTGATTTAGCTATTTAACATCACCAGTGTGAACATCTCCTTCCTTCTCCTCCCTCAACTCATCCCAGTTTAAACCCTGCATCTGATGACGTGGCCTGCAGCCGATGAAAATGTACACTGTTACAAAAAATGTTAGTCAGAAAAAGTGTGACTAAACTCCTGATTTTTAGCAACCATACATTATCACAATTCTCCTCTTGCAACTTTTAGAAATTGTAAGTGGAATGTCCCAGCCTCGTTTATAATAAATCAATTAAGGTGTTTTTTTTTCCTGAATGATTGAAAAGCTTCTTTTCAGATTGTTAGCAATCTGAAGTAAGTTGCCATGTATGAAATAGACTGCCAGCAAATTTATTTATTTATTTATTTATTAGTCATATTTCTATGCCGCCCACTCTCCGAGGACTCTGGGCGGCTTACACCAAAGACAGTATACTAAATAGCATATTGCCCCCCAACAATCTGGGTCCTCATTTTACCCACCTCGGAAGGATGGAAGGCTGAGTCAACCTTGAGCCGGTGAGATTTGATCTGCTGAACTAGCAGTCAGCTGAAGTAGTTGCAGTACTGCACTCTAACCACTGTGCCACCTCAGCTCTATCTAAATTTGTCTTCCGTCCTTGGGTTGTCTATATCAACCGATAGAAGCAAATATTTGTAGATCAGGGTTGAAATGAGGGGTTCTTAGTGCTCTCTGAGCTTGGTTGTTTTCCTGCTGACCTTTCATTACCCAAACTAAGTAACATCATCTGTATATATATCTACTCTGCCTTCCATTCCTTTGTTAGCCTGTCTACCATAATGGATGGAAACTAATCAAGGAGTGAAGCAACCTAGAACTAAGGAGAAATTTCCTAACAGTGAGAACAATTAATCAGTGGGACAGCTTTGCCTTCAGAAGCTGTGGGTGCTCCATCACTGGAGGCTTTTTTTTTTCCTTCCTTCCTTCCTTCCTTCCTTCCTTCCTTCCTTCCTTCCTTCCTTCCTTCCTTCCTTCCTTCCTTCCTTCCTTCCTTCCTTCCTTCCTTCCTTCCTTCCTTCTTTCTTTTTCCTTCCCTCTTCCTTCTCCTTTCTTCTTCCTTCCCCTCTTCCCTTATTTTTCCTTCCTTGCTCTCTTCCCATCTTTTTCTTTTTCTTTCCTCTTTCCCTTTCTCCTTTCCTGTCCCTTCTTTTGGATGCTCAAATGCAAGAGGAAACATCTCTCCTTTTGTTTTTGTTCTTTGGTTTGTTTTGCTAGCCCTCTGCCAGAGGCACCAAGGGCCGGCCCTTTGTTGTTTCCAGGGCGGCCCCGCAGGCCAGCATCCAGCAGGCCAGTTCTGGACCGTGGGCCATGAGCTTGACACCCCTGGTATAGAGTCTCCTCCATATATATAGAAGAACTCCAAGGCCCCCTTCAACTCTATTATTCTGTATTCTGTACCTCCAAAGATCCTGCTGGGATGGCAGAGAGCATCTCAGAAGCTAATTTATCTTTTGATAATCGAATGTTTTGTGACTAATGGGTCTGTGATGGCGGCCATTTTCTGAGCGGGCATATCTCTGCAATCAGTTGTGTTGTGAGTGCGTTGTGAGAAAGTCAGAGATTGCCACATCTCAAAATGTCAGGTGTGGCTCCAACTCAGAAAATATGGTCTATTCCTGCTTTAAAAGAGCCGAGTTAGGAGGGGTCTGCATTTGTAAAAGAGAAATAACACGTTTCTGTTTTGCTTGTGTTCTTAGCCTTTTCAGAAGCTTCCAGATTACACCCTGATCCCTGCGGCGTGCACAGAAGTAGCCAAACTTGGTGGGACTCTCTCTTCCTGTTCTCTTCTCATCAATAAGAAGCTGGAGATCTAGTGCCTATAGATCCACACAAAAATACAGATTCCCCCCCAGTTCCTGGAGCCCTTTCCTTGTTTTCTTTGTGTAGAGCAATGTAGCTCTTTCCCCACCGTCCCTCCACTTCCTTACGAAGCAGAGTGCCACCCTAATTCCCACGCCTGCTAATTAGGTCAGATTTAAATTTGGTATCTGTTTCTCTTTTAATTTACATTGGACCTTCTCTTCCCCACCAAGTCTTACCTCTCTTTACTTTTCTCTTTATCTTTTCTTATGTTACCCATAAAGGATGTGGTGGCTCAGTGGCTAAGACGCTGAGCTTGTCGATCGAAAGGTCGGCAGTTCACCGGTTCGAATCCCTAGTGCCACGTAACGGGGTGAGCTCCCGTTACTTGTCCCAGCTTCTGCCAACCTAGCAGTTCGAAAGCACGTTAAAAAAAAGGCAAGTAGAAAAATAGGGACCACCTTTGGTGGGAAGGTAACAGCATTCCGTGCGCCTTTGGCGTTTAGTCATGCCGGCCACATGACCACGGAGAGGTCTTCGGACAGCGCTGGCTCTCTTCGGCTTTGAAACGGAGATTAGCACCGTCCCCTAGAGTTGGGAACCATTAGCACATATGTGCGAGGGGAACCTTTACCTTTACCTTTATGTTACCCTTTAGAAAGATTTTTTACTCCGGCATAGATAGGGGTTTATATCTCTTGCTCCCAAAACTTAATAAAAGCCACATCAAGGAAGCTTGGCCTTTCAGCAATTCGTCAGTAACTCCTATTTTATAATAAGGTTCTCAAATGGTCAACCCCACTTGGAGGATTTAAGATTAACAGTGGTGCTTTTTTCCTCCCTTCTTCTTCTTCTTTTTTGGCTTTGTCAATGAGAGGATTTTGTGGGACAAGATTATTGCAATAGATACGGAGATATAGTTGTGGGCAGCCTTTTTTTTTTTTTTTTGGAAGATCCTTAGGAGCTGGTGGCCAAAATAGGACCTTTATTATTTTTTTTTCTCCTTCTATATCATTATATTAGTTTTGGAAAACAGAGGTATTCTTGTAGCCAAGGTCTGCTTGCGATTGTTATTGCAAATGACTGGCTTGGCAAATAGATCATCTTCCATTGTTAGAGAACTGGATAATTCTAATACCACTGGTTATTATGGATTAGGAGGCATCCCTAACCAGTAATGGTGGAAATCTAACATTGCATATGTCCTGGCAGAAGTCTTAGTGGTGGTGAAGGTCCAGATGACCTTCACTGCCTCTGAAATGTTCTCAAAAAACTTCACAAGTAGCAATAGAGGAGAATATCTGCAGCTCAGGGTTGAACTGAGGAATCCTTGGTGTTCTCTGAGCTTGGTTGTTTTTTGTAGACATTTCATTACCCGACTAGGTTACGTCATCAGTTGGATAATGAAACATCTGCAAGTAGACAATGAAGCTCAGAGAGCAGCAAGGGCTCCACAACTTCGTAAATGGTATCTTATATCTCTGCTTAGCCTACTCTATACCACGATGCTTTTAATTTTGGGTTTCTGAGAGTATAGAGTTATTCTCCGCTGTTTTCCCAGCTCACAGCAGTTTCCTTCATGCCACTTCTGTGAAAACTCACAAAACGAAAGTCATCAACCGAGGAGACTTTTCCTTCAACAGCACCACGTTGTGTATTTGTGTAATGTGGATAAGGGGCACTTGTAGCAATGTTCTTGAGAACAATTCTGCTGACGACCAGTTCTAGGAGCCTAGATGATTCACTCACTGCCTCGTTTAACCCTCTGTGAAATCAGTTTTTTTAAAAAGTAATAAATAAAAGACTGCCAACAACTAAATTTCTTAATGGGTCTCTCTTCTTTGGTTTCATTCTTGGATTTTGGTTCGCCCTACCATCGTCCAACTGAAGAGCTTCCATTTTAACGGCAATCCTTTTAAATACAGGTAGTCCTTGACTTACGTCCACAAATGAGCCCAAAATTTCAGTTGCTAAGGAAGACATTTTGTTAAGTGGATTTTGTCCCCTTTTTCGATCTTTATTGCCACAGGTGTTAACTGAATCACTGCAGTCATTAAGTTAGTTACACAGTTGTTAAGTGAATCTGGCTTCCCCGTCGACTTTGCTCGTCAGAAGGTTGCAAAATGTGATCACAGGACACTGCAACAGTCATAGATACATGCCAGTTGCCAAGTGTCCGAATCTTGATCACATGACCGTGGGGATGCTAAAATGGTAATTGTGAAAAATGGTCATTTATTTTTCAGCGCGGTTACTAAACGAATGATTGTAAGTCAAGGACTATCTCAATAAGTTTTTTTCTGTTTTCTGTCTAATAAATCATGGTGTCTCCTAACAATTCAAAGGGCAAAATAAAAGGAGATAAAAGGATATTTGGATTTCAGATTTATTTTCTTTAACTGTGTGAGAAGTAATGGAATAGAGATGATAAAGGATGATTCTCCAAAGCCAACAAGATATTTTCAACATGTGTCCATGCATGGCATCTAGCTGTGTTGTGAAACTTTCACATCAAATGGAATATGGTGTATCACAATATGTTTGTGCCTTGCTAGATGTCTGCTGTTTCTTTATTCCTGCAGTAAGCAAGAAAAGCAAAATAAAATCAGAACATACATTGACTCCTTAGCACGGTGTAATACGTAGCTGATAGTTCCTGCTTGGTTTTGTGAATTGCAATCACTACGAGGCCCATCCTGTGTTTATTTCAAACTGTCCAACTCAATCAATTGAATGTGATTCTCGGCCTCATACAACATAAATTAAACATACAGCCAAAATAAATAAATAAATAAATAAATTACACATTCTTGAAAGAAAACACAAATGTGCAAAAATGGCAAGCTGAACGGAATAGATTAAATTAACAAACAATAGGGGACTCCATTCACCAAGACTAGGTGTGCCCAACCTTGGGGGACTTTTAAGACTTGTGAACTTCCATTCTCAGAATTCCCCAGGGAATTCTGGGAGTTGAAGTCCAGAATTCTTACAGTTACCAAGGTTGGATATTCCCAACCTAGGCATTTATCTCCATTCAGATCTGGGGAAACACCATTCTAAAGGAGACAGAGTCAGGGCCCATCAGATGTCTGGGGGAAGATCATTCCAGTGAGCAAGACGGCCACTAAAATGTGATGCTACTTAAATCCTATCAAGTGACGACTTAATGAGTGGGAGTGGGAATACCTGGGGTTGGGCAGTGTTCATAGGAAAAGGCAGATCTGCAAATAGCTCAAGTTCTATGCCACGTATGGCTTTAAAGGTGATATCCACCATCTTGAATTGTACTTGGAAGGTTATTAGGAGATAGTGCAGATCACAGAGTAACAAGATAGACCAGGGGTGTCAAACTCAATGTCCGTGAGCTGGATTAGGCCCTTGGGGTGCTTAAACCTGGCCCATGGGACTGGCCTGGAAATCGTAAAGGACTGGCCCGCAGTGCCTATGGCAGCCAAAATGGGGCACGGGGCTGTGATGGGTTTCAAATTTTTTTACTACCGGTTCTATGGGTGTGGCTTAGTGGGCATGGCTTGGTGGGTGTGGCAGAGGAAGGATACTGTAAAATCTCCATTCCCTCCACAATCCAGGGGAAGGATACTGTAAAATCTCCATTCCCTCCACAATCCAGGGAAAGGTTACTGCAAAATCCGCATTTCCTCCGGATCAACTGGGACTTGGGAGGCAGAGAATAGATGGGGCCAGTTAGAATTTTTTACTACCGCACTCAAAATTTCCCCTACCGGTTCTCCAGAACTGGTCAGAACCTGCTGAAACCCACCTCTGGCACGGGGGGCCCTCATGTGGCCCCCTGCACCCCATTTTGGCTAGCAGGGTGCTGCAGGAAGCTGTCCAGGCTGAAAACAGGGCATGGGGGGGCTCACATGGCCCCTCCGTGGCCCAGTTTGGCTGGCAGAGTGGCCAGTTTGGCCCACCCCCTGGCCGGCCCGAAGAGAACTACAGTTTGAGACCCCTGAAATAGACCAATTTGGTCTAGTGGTTAAGTCACCAGGCTAGAAATCGGGAGACTGGGAGTTCTAGTCCTGCCTTAGCCATGAACATCGTTTGGGTGACCCTACGCCAGTCACTCAAATCTCTCGGCTCACCTCACCTCACAGGATTGCTGTGGGAAAAATAGGAGGAGGAAGGTGTGTTCACCATCTCGAGTTATTCGTAAAAATAATAAAGGTGGGATAAAAATAAATACATAAAATGTCACATGAACAAAGCAATTCGCACCATCCTGCTGGATTCTGGATCAGCTGAAGTACTGGATAGCCCTCAATTATTTATTTATTTATTTATTTATTTATTATATTTCTATACCGCCTTTCTCCCGTAGGACTCAAGACGGTGTACAGTCAAGAAAAATATAGATACACAAACATCATAAAATTGCTAATTAAAATTATTATTATAACATAGTTTGGCCCAATTAAATAGAACCTAAAATTAGATAACATTTTAAAAAATGTTATCAAGACCAGCCCCACGGATGGCGTGTTAGAAGAATCCAATTGTTATAACTCCCTTACTTCCGTTTTGAACACATGCCAGGATCTTCCTCAAAATATTAGCTGGCAAATGGCTTTGGAAGCCATTTGCCCTGTGAAACGGTATATAATAGGGAATTTTCAGAGTTGATATATGCAAAGAGCCAATGATCCGAATTGAGAGAATGTATGCATGAGGAAGGCTTAATGAGGAAGTGTTGTATCGACTTGAAAGTAAGTAAAATAGGAATGGAAACAGAAATATGGGGGGGATTTCTTCTTCTGAAAAAGTTTCCCTTTCAGTTGAGGGTTATTTTAAGATTCAAGTTCACCTTCCGTTCAAGTTAGAATACGTGGTCTCAAATATTTATTGCCAAACTTGGCTTTTCATGTACTTCTTTTTTTTTGTACTGGGTGGGAAGGAAGAACAAAGTTCTCACTTTGTAAATATGAGAGGAAAATTTCAAGTGGGTAAAGACATTAAAATTTCCATCCCTGGACAGTAGTCAAGTGATCCAATACGGTAAGAAGGATTAATCCAATTTGTGTTTTTCCTTGGAATATCTCCATTGCTACAGCCACTTTCTTTTAGAAAGGGGAAAAAAAATGCCTTACACCAGAGGTCTTCAAACTTGGCAGCTTTAAGACTTGTGGACTTCAACTCCCAGAATAGCTATGCTGGCTGGAGAATTCTGGGAGTTGAAGTCCACAAGTCTTAAAGCTGCCAAGTTTGAAGACCTCTGTCTTACACCAACTGCCAGTTCATTTCCAAGTACAAGTAGTCCTCAACTTACAACGGTTCATTTAATGACCGTTCAAAGTTACAATGGCACTGAAAAAAATGACTTATGACCGTTTATTTACACAATATGACCATTGTAGCATCCCCGTGGTTACCCAATCAGATGCTTTGGCAACTGGTTCATATTTATGACGCTTGCCGTGTCCCAGGATCATGTGATCGACTTTTGCAACTTGACAAACAAAGTCAATGGGTAAGCCAGATTCCGTTAAAAACTTTGATACTAACTTAACAACTACAGTGATTCACTTAACAACTGTGGCAAGAAAAATTCGTTAAATGGGACAAAATTCACTTAACAGCTTCTCGCTTAGCAACATAAATTTTGGGCTCAGTTGTGGTCGAGGACTACCTGTAAAAAGGTAAAGGTTTCCCTGTCCAGTCGTATCCATCTCTACGGGTTAATGTTAGGGTTCCAAGTAACACCCCCGAAAGAAAACTCCGAGGCTTGAGTTTCCTCAAAGTTACACTTTATTAGAGATGTCATATTGGCACATCTGGGAAAACCCGAATCTGAAAGCTTCCAGGTTTTCCCCACCCAAAGGAAAGTTCAACACCCTGCCCAACACACACATGTCCATCACATGGTCCAATCCAAATACCGTGCCGAGTGGAGACGCCTCCCAGTTCCAACCCTTCAGGTGCAGGGCAAGATGTCCTTGACCTTCTGAGAAAGGAACGTTATTATGATTATATATCACCCTGCCTCCATACAATCCCCCCTCCCAGTTTCCCACAATAGTAAATGTGGCAGGCCTGAAGATGCAACTAAAAAGATGGCTTCCAGGCCTGACATGGTGCTCATCTTCATTTCTTGGCAGAGGGAGCCAGTGTTGTCCGAAGAAAATTTCCGTGGTCATGTGGCCAGCATGGCTATGCACCAAAGAGACATGGAACTCTCTTACCTTCTCACTAAAGTGGTACCTGTTAATCTACTTGCATTTGCATCAGTGGTGGGTTTCAAAAATTTTTACTACCGGTTCTGTGGGTGTGGCTTGGTGGGCGTGGCATGGCACGTGATGTCCCGCTGCCTGGAGGCCGTGCAGGTCTGGATGGGGAGAAATAGGCTCAAACTCAACCCTTCCAAGACCGAGTGGCTGTGGCTCCCGGCGTCCCGGTAAAGTCAGCTATCGCCATCGCTGTCTATAGGGGGTGAATCTTTACCCTCCACAGAGAGGGCTCGCAATCTGGGTGTTCTCCTGGATACACAGCTGTCTTTAGAAGAGCATATGACGGCCGTGGCCAGGGGGGACTTCTATCAGGTTCGCCTGATCCGCCAGTTGCGTCCCTTTCTGGACCGGGACGCCTTGCGCTTGGTCACTCATGCCCTTGTTACCTCTCGGCTGGACTACTGTAATGCTCTCTACATGGGGCTCCCCTTGAAGAGCACTCGGAGGCTCCAACTGGTCCAGAATGCAGCCGCGCGGATAATTATGGGTGCAACCCATTGCGCTCACGTAACACCTCTCCTGCGCGAGCTGCACTGGCTCCCAGTGGTCTTCCGGGTGCGATTCAAGGTGTTGGTTACCACCTTTAAAGCGCTCCATGGCTCAGGACCTGGATACTTACGAGACCGCCTTCTGCCACCGATAACCTCCCACCGACCTGTTCGCTCCCACAGAGAGGGACTCCTCAGAGTGCTGTCGGCCAAACTATGTTGGCTGGCGACACCCAGGGGGAGAGCCTTCTCTGTGGGGGCATCTGCCCTTTGGAACGAACTGCCCCGGAAATACGCACAATCTCTGACCTCCGAGTTTTTCGCTGTGCCCTCAAGACCCTGCTCTTCCGACAGGCAGGGCTATCTTTGTAAAGGAGTTTTAAATTCAGAGTTTTAAATTTTTGTGTTTTTAATGAATTTTGGCTGCAAATGTAATAATTTTAATAATTTTTAAATTTAATTTGGATTTGTATTGTGTTTTTTACTTGGCTGTGCACCGCCCCAAGTCCTTCGGGAAAGGGGCGGTAGAGAAATAAAATTATCTATCTATCTATGGCTTGGTGGGCGTGGCAGGAAAAGGATACTGTAAAATCTCCATTCCCACCCAACTCCAGGGGAAGATTACTGCAAAATCCCCACTTCCTCCTGATCAGCTGGAAATTGGGAGGCAGAGAATAGATGGGGGCGGGGCCAGTCAGAATTTTTACTACCAGTTCTCCGAACTACTCAAAATTTCCACTACCGGTTCTCCAGAATTGGTCAGAACCTGCTGAAACCCACCTCTGATTTGCATGCTCTCGTATTTATAGTATTTCCATGTGAAATATGGTAAAGCAAACAGATTTTTAACCCTTAAATTACTACAACTTGTGTCTGAATCTTTGAGATCTCTCTATTGTCCCTTCGCCACTGATCTGTCTCACAACAGCATGGGTTCAGCTGTCTCCAAAGCCACCCCAGGTCTTCAGAACATGGTCTCTATTGTAGAGAAGAATCTGACTTTGCTGGGTTTAAAAAGCTGAAGCAATCTTTTTAATGGTTGCATCAAGACTCTGCTGGTTGGCACATGAAGAAAATGATCAGAAAATAACCAATAAGAAAAATAATATAATAAACACAGGTAGTCCTCAACCTTACAACAGTTCATTTAGTGTCCATTCGAAGTTATAACAGCACTGAAAAAAGTGGCTTAAGATGGTTTTCCACACTTATAACCGTTGCAGTATAACCCCATGGTCACAATAAAAATTCAGAGCCTTGACAACTGACTCATATTTATAGAGTTGCCAGGTGTCCACTATTTGAGCGGACAGTCCACTTTTTTCACATTATGTTCACTATTTTTTTTCACAAAATAGTGGACATTTTTTTTATTCAAAAGCTTTATGATAAAATGGTACGTAATCTAAAGCTGTAGAGTCTAAGAGAATAAGGATAGGAGAATCGCGTTTTGTCTTTTTTTCATAAGTTAGAATGAGACAAAGATCGAATATCCATTGAACTCGATTCTCCGAAAAAATTAATGAGATTAAAATAAAAATATATTATAAAATTATGTACAGTTCACATTTTTAAAATGTATTGTAGCTTGTGTCGACTGACCTAAAATGGCGTCGAGTGATGAGAGTGACAGCGGCGAGATTTCGAATTCTTTAAAACGAAAGAGAGGAATGTGCAAATACACCAAAGACTGGAAAGCTACTTTTGCATGGATTACCAACAATGAAACCGACAGAACAAATACAACGGCCTATTGTAAATTGTTTGTAAGAAAATATATAATTTAATTGTAAATTTTTTTTTTATTTTTTTACTACTTAACCCCCCCCCCCCCCCCCGCTTGTCCGCTATTTTTTGGAAGCAGACCTGGCAACCCTACATATTTATGACGGTTGCAGTATCCCTTTTGTAAACTGACAAGCCAAGTCAATGGTGAAACTAGGTTCACTTAACACCCGTTGTCAGGGTTGGAAGTAACAGACCCAAAGCAATCAAAAACCTGAGGCCTAGAGTTTCCTCAAAGTAAGAATGTATTAGGAATGTCATATTGGCACAACTGGTGAAAACCCGACTCTGAAGGACCCGAGGTTTTCCCCACCCAAATCAAAACCAGGGCCGGATTTTCCTATAGGCTAACTAGGCTTCAGCCTAGGGCCTCAAGATCAAGAGGGGCCTACATTCAAATTGTTAGCAAAATTAAAATTACACTTTCACTATAGGTGAAAGGGCCTCATAAGTGGAATAGCCTAGGGCCTCTGTTCATCTAAATCCGGCCCTGATCAAAACCCAAAGTTCTTTCTCCTCAGGTCACACATCCATCACATAGTCCAATCAGGTCGCAGTCCCAACTCCGGCTGCCTTTTATCCATGCCTCTCCAACACCTGGTAGAGTGTCCTTCGCTCCCATGGGAAAGAATGTTATTTTGGCTACACATCCCCCAGCTATCTCTATCTCCCCTCTCACATTCCCACAGCTCCAACCGGCCTCCCAAAATGGCTTCAGGACTGACACCCGTGTTACTGATTTAACACCTGCAGTGATTCACTTAACAACGGTGGAAAGAAAGGTCGTAAAATGGGACAAAGTTCACATAACAAATGTCTCACTTAACATAAATTTTGGACTCAATTGTGGTTATAATTTGAGGACTACCTGTAATAACAAAAAATAATAAAAACAAGACAATGCATAATAAGAAATAAGACAAATATATTTAATGGTCAACAAAACTTCAATAGGTCCAACTATTCCGGCAAGGATGTGAAGAGATAATAGTTTTACCTTTCCAAACATTAGAAATGGGTTTCTAGCCGAAAACCTTAGGTTGATATCTCCTTTTCACTCTTGACAGAATATTTTGGATTCTGCATAATCATCCCGTTGTGGTATGTAGATCTTAGAATAAATTAATGGATTCAAAATTGCATTAGGAGCACAGACTTTAGGGAGTCCTTCAACCTCTGGGCTGTTGAATGGGTGATAGGGAAGGGGTTGAGTAAGCTCCACTGAGTTTTCTCCATTGTAGCCTTACTGAGTAGAGATTGGAAAAATAAATGCAGCAGTGTTACGCTTTCTTTTGACAGATATTCTGGAACCTTCCATCATAGTGGAGCAACTGGGGTTGGTAGTTTGGTCTCCACATCTGAGATGAAGGTTGCCCAATAGTTTAAGCCTTTGTGCCAATTACAGCTTGAATGGCTAACGTGTCATTATGGATGTAGCCAGTCCCTGGTTCGTAGAGTGAGTTCAAGGGGTAGAATTCAGGGAGGCCACTGGCCAGGTTGGTTTCACTGATGGGCCGCTGGAATGAAGACGAGGACTCCAAGGAACGGAAGGCGGTGGAAACGTGATGATTGTTGACTTGATCCAACAAAGTGAAAGTCACCTAAATTTTAAAGAAGGGAGAAATTATATGCACTGTATTTTGTATATTATATTATATGCACCAATTTACGTGCACTAAACGAAATAGTGTTGGTCTTGGGCCATGTATATCCTTGTCTATAGGCCAGATTACTTTCTGGGTCTTTCAAGACCATAAATTGAAACCTGGATTAGTTTAGGGGAATTGGAAGAAATTTCCCTGGTTAGTTCCCAGTTGGGACATACCACAGACGCTGAAAAGAAATGGATGCAGAAGCCAGCTGCCAGAAAGTGGAATTCTTTTAATGCAGGAAGGCAAGAAGCAAAAAGCGACACAGCTCCAGCGTTCCTGGCTTGCAAGCTGGGTGGCATAATAAATTTATGGATTTTTATACCCATTTTCCCTTTGACGTTTGTGTAGTTTGATGAGCATTTGTGTGTACCTTTAGTTAAGGTGATTGCTCTGAGTTCTGTCTTCCTGCCTTAATGGGTTAATTCTGTTCCTGGGGCTTTATCTTTTCTATCCTGGGGGTTAATTCTGCCAGGAAAGAGGGAAAAGGAAGTTCCAGGTGAGTTATTTTTAGCTGGTTTAAGTACTTTCAGGATCTGCCTCATAATCCAGTTTTGTGATTCCTAGTACTAGCCTTTTGGCAGTAGCCCAGACTTTTAGTTTACTTTGTTATTTCTAGTAACAAGCATTAATGGGTTTTGGCAGCATGCCCAGACTTTTAGTCAGCTCTCACTGGGACTTTCGTTTTAGGCTTTCTTAAAGGGAAAGGGCCGGCATGGCACTGTTTTCTGAGATTTCTGGTGCTGTGAAGTTTCTGGCACTGTCCTTTTTTGGGGGTGCACTTCCCACAGGGGGTAAAGAATGTGGGGCATGATTTTAGGGGAGGAGATCCAGCTCTAGAACCCAGCATTTCAGGGTGCCTGAGGGCTCAACTCTCTTCCTACTCCTACACTTACTACATAAAGATACCAGCTGAGGTCCCAATGGTGCTCTTTCAGGAGGCAACAGTAGTGGGTTCCACTTACTGGTTTGGAACTTGGAGGTGCGTGCATGTGTGCGCTTGCTTTGTTCGTGCACAGCGCTTCTGCACATGTGCAGAACATTCTGTGCATACGCAGAGTGTCCGTGATGACATCCGAACCAGGGCGAACCGGTAGAAACCCACCACTGGGAGGCAACTGGATTTTCTTGTTTTTTCTTTTGAAGACATTTCACTTCTCACCTAAGAAGCTTCTCCAGCTCTGACAGGATAGTGGGGAATATTCTGTCAGAATTGAAGATGCTTCTTGGATGAGAAGCAAAACATCTTCAAAAGAAAAAAAACGAGAAAGTCCAGTTGCCTCCTGAAAAATCACCTTTGAGACAACCATGACCTGGATGATTGAGAATCTCTACAGACTTCTACCATCTGAGGCCATCCATTGGCATGGGCTTAAAGCATAATCAGTACAGATAGGCCTCAACCTTTCTTGCCACAGTTCTTAAATGAATCATTGCAGTTAAAAGCTACTAACATGGTTCTTAAGTGAATCTGGCTTCCCCATTGATTTTGCTTATCAGAAGGTTACAAAAGGTGATCACATGACCCCAGGACAATGCAACCATCATAAATATGAGTCAGTTGTCAAGTGTCTGAATTTTGATCACATAATGTGATGGCCCGAGCCATGGCATGAAAGCAACACAACCAGGGTCTAACTCCCCTTTATTGTGCCAACTGTGCCTCCAAACATCCTCACATTCACTACAACTCCTGGAGCAAAGCTCTCACACGCACCTTCAGAAGCCTCTGGCTGCGAGTAGTCCAGTAAGCAAGCTTAACCACACAGCAACCAGATCCAGCAGTCCAATAAACCAGGTTAGCCCAAACAGCAACTAGGGCCAGCAGTCCAATAAGCCAGGTTAGCCCAAACAGTAACCAGGGCCAGCAGTTCAGTTAGCCAAACAGTAACCAGAGCAAGAAGTTCAGCGAAGCAGGCAAACCGGGCAAATCCCACAAAACAGAGTACAGCAATCTCTCGGTGTTGGCAAGTGCACACGAGGCTTCACAGGTTCAACGCTTGTTCCCGACCAATGCCCCTCCCACCGGCACCTCACTCCCCAAGTGTGCCTTGTGAAATGGGCCGGGGCACTCTCCTCCCTCATAGCTGGCTCAATCTGCGTTGATCTCGCCTTCTCTCTTCCCTCCTTGTTCTAGGATCAGGAGGGTCCTTGCTCTTCACCTGAGCTCTGTCTCTCCTGCTCCTCTCTGTCTGCAGGCCTTACTAATACGGAAAAGTCTTGCCTGGACTGACTGTGCCCTTCCCCAGTTTCCTCCAAGGCCAACGGAGCCCCCCCTCCTCGATCTCTATTGGCTCTTGTTTCAGCTCATCTTCCACCACAATCAGACTCCGAGGGGGGGGCATGACACGTGACCATGGGGATGCTGCAACGGTTGTCAGTGTGAAAAATGATCATAAGTCACTTTTCGGTGTCGATGTAACTTCAAGTGGTCCCTAAATGAACTATTCTAAAGTCAAGGAGTGTACATCCCTGTCTTGGCTCCTTAAGAGATGCTGTCAGTATTTGTTCCCAGTGCTTAGAGCCAGTGGTAGGATTCAATCTTTTTTACTACTGGTTCTGTGGGCGTGGCTTGGTAGGCGTGGCAGGGTGAAGGATACTGCAAAATGTCCATTCCCACCCCACTCCAGGGGAAGGATATTGTAAAATCTCCATTTCCACCCCTCTCAAGGGGGAAGAATACTGTAAAAACTCCATTCCCACCCCACTCCAGGGGAAGGATATTGTAGAATCTCCATTTCCACCCCTCTCAAAGGGGAAGGATACTGTAAAATCTCCATTTCCACCCCACTCCACTCCAGGGGAAAGATACTGCAAAATTTCCATTTCCACCCCACTCCAGGGAAAGGATACTGCAAAATCTCCATTCCCACCCCGCTCCAGGGGAAGGATACTGCAGAATCTTCATTTCCACCCCACTCCAGGGGGAAGGATACTGTAAAATCTCCACTCCCACCCCACTCCAGGGCAAGGATAGTGTAAAATCTCCATTCCCTCCCCATTCCGCTAACCTGTTTTCCAGCTCCATTCTCCTGTGCAGGGCAACAAAAGAAGACCCAGCTGATCAGCTGGGACTTGGGAGGCACAGAATAGATCAGGGACGGGGCCAGCCAGAAGTTGTATTTTCCGCTTCTCCAAACTACTCAAAATTTCTACTACGGTTTGCCAGAACCAGTCAGAACTGGCTGAATACCACCTCTGCTTAGAGCTATGGAGGTCTGGATGTAAATCTAATTCTAGCAAGGCAGAGTGGCTGTGGACTTTAGCACCTGATTGGGATGGCACTCTCCCAAAAAGAGTTGGTATCCAGTTTGGGAATCCTCTTGAATTTATAGCTGCTGTTTGGGGAACAGGTGGCAGCCACAGCCAGGAGAATTGAGGGAGGGAGGGAGCTTCCCATGCCATGTCTCCTTACCACAAGTTCAGAAGCTCCATCCTACCTTATGTTGGAAAGGCCATTTCAGCTGGAAATCGTATTCTCCTTTCATCACAACCAGGAAGAGCGAAAGGTGAGTTCCAGTACCGGTCCCATCTCCGTTCAGGAAAAGCTTCAGACAGAGCTTATAGCCGTAGCGGTTGGTATAAAATGCTGGAGGAGCACGAAGGAGAGAAAAACACGAGATGCTAAGAGCAGCAAGAACAATAATACTGACTGGTTTATCTTTCGATAAACTCTATGGGAGGATAAACTTTCTGATGGAAATTGGAATCTTCAGGGTTCATTTTTGTGGGCGCTTTCACAAGAAGGGTTTTGCCTGCTCATAAAAATGGCAGCTGGGACAACGTACCATTTTAACCATGGACAAAACATGGGACAATTTTGGCCATGGACAAAACTGAAGGCTCTAGGATGCCCTCTACTATTCCAGGGGATACTTTGTGGGCCCCAAATGTAATTCTGCAAATAAATTCAATAATAGGAGCTAGTGCTTTTGTTTCCCAGCATCTTCCTTCCTTCCTTCCTTCCTTCCTTCCTTCCTTCCTTCCTTCCTTCCTTCCTTCCTTCCTTCCTTCCTTCCCTATTTCTTTTTTCCTTCCTTTCTCTCTCTCTTTTTCCGTCCTTCCCTTCTTCTCCATCTTTTCTCTTTCCTTCCTTCTCCCTGCCCTTCCTCCCGCCCACCCTCCCTTCCTCCCCTTCCTTTCTTCTCCATCTTTTCTCTTTCCTTCCTTCTTTCCTTCCTTCTCCCCTCCCTCCCTCCCTCCCTTCCATTCCTCTCAATCTTTTCTCTTTCCTTCCTTCTTTCCTTCCTTCTCCCTACCCTTCCTCCCTTCCTCCCTAGGCTCTTCAAGCCTAGTGGCAGCAAAAAGTTCATGAGAGCATCCCATAGTGCCTATTTCTGAATGGGGTCATGCATTTGCAAGTTTTATAGTCTCAGCAGGATGCCCATGCTGGATCTTCCTGTGTTTCCCCGTAGTGCAAGCCCACAGAAATGATACTGGAGTGAGAAAGTCAACCAAAAAGCTGGCATCTCAAAGGTGCGTATTTCTTCGAACGGTAAACTGGACTGTTTTTTCCTTGAGGAAGAGGAAGAAGAAAACGTTTCGCTTCTCATCCAAAAAGCTTCATCAGTTCTGATGGCGGGGATGGCGGGGATGGAAGGATAGGTACTGACAGTGGAGAGTGGATGGCGGGGAGATGGAAGGATAGAATAAAATAGAGATGGGAGGGACCTTGGAGGTCTTCCAGTCCAACCCCTACTCAAGCAGGAGACCCTATTGTCCGGTTTCGATGTCATCTCAAATAAATTGCACTCCCAAACAATTAATCTTTGCTGAAATATTCCATTTATTGAGTACGACAGATCTGGCCCTGACTTCGTCGTAGCCGATACTAACCCTCTGACCCCCAAACCCTTCCCTTTCCATTCCTCAATTCTCATCTTCTCATTGGCCATCTTCCAAGTCAGTCTCCCCAGCTTCTGACCTCACCTCACAGGAATGTTCCCCCCACCATCCCATCTCCTAGGGGATATTATCTACAGAGAAATAAGTAGGTGAAAAGTCAAGCTTCGTCTTTTTATGGCAGCATCAGAATGCTGACATCTATACCATCTCAGACAAGTCACTCTCCTAGTCCAGTCTCTTTCTGAAAATTCCAGTGCTGAAGCACCCACTACTTCTGAAGGCAAGCTGTTCCACAAGCTGGTTAATTGGTCAATTAACTGATTAATTCCACAAGTTAATCACCCGCCAGCAGGTCTCTCCTCACTCCACCTGGGTTCAGTGTTCCTTGTCCTGCCAGTTCAATCAGAATAGAAACTGGAAGAGACCTTGGAGGTCTTCTAGTCCACCCCCTGCTCAAGCAGGAGATCCTATACCAGTGATGGCTAACCTTTTTGCTGTTGTGTGCCAAAAGGGGGGGAGTGTGGGGGGGTCACACATGCACGTGCCCACACCCATAATTCAATGTGTCCCCCCCCTCACGCGCATGTGCATGCGACCCCCTGCACTCACCCTGCTTTTTGCATGTGATGGCCCGGTGGGCCCGGTAGTCCCGTTTTTTGCCCTCCCCAGGCTCCAGAGCCTTTCTAGGAACCTGGGGAAGGCGAAAACGGCCTTCCCCACCCTCCTGGAGGCCCTCTGGAGCCGGAAACAGACCGTTTCCCATGCGCCGAAGCTGAGCTAGGGCAACGATTGCGTGCCCACCGATATGGCTCCATAGGTTCGCCATCATGGTCCTATCCCATTTCAGACAAGTGACTGTCCAGTCTCTTCTTAAAAACATCCAGTGATGAAGGACCCACAACTTCTGAAGGCAAAGCTGTTCCACTGGTTAATTGTCCTCACTGTTAGGAAGCTTCTCCTTAATTCCAGGTTGCTTCTCTCCTTCCTTAGTTTCCATCCATTGTTTTTTGTCTTGCCCTCTGTTTCTGATAGGATGGTGTGTGTGTGTGTGTGTGGGGGAGGGAATGGAAGGAGTAGTAATGCAAAGAAATATAATCCTTCCATTTCTCTCTCCCCCCTCATCCTATCAGAATTATCTTTCCATTCCCCTGCCGTCCAGTCTCAACGGTCGATCCCTATCCTTTCATCCCCCTGGCATCAGAACTTATGAAGCTTCTTGGATGAGAAGTGAAACGTCTTCTTCTTCTTCTTCCTCAGGAAACAACAACAACAACCCAGTTGACTTTTGAAGAAAAAAAAGCACCTTTGAGGCAACCTGGATGATGGAGAATCTCCATAGCCACCAAGCAAAGATTTTTGGTCTAGCAAATCAATTTCCCCCTTTCTGTTCACGTCCTGATTTGGTCACTCACGGGGGGAATAAAGGGCAGGCCGTTTGCCGATTTGAGCTTCCTGCATTCGACGCCCCACCCTGGAGACCTTCCAGAGGAAACACCCATCATAGCTGGTATGTTCCAGGGTCTGGATCCGGGATACCAAGCTGTTGATCATCACGTCTTTCAGAGCCAAGAGTGAATCTTGCTGTTCTACCTGGAAGGAGTACATGGAAACATGCAAGAGAAATACTGATGCTTTCAATTAAATTCGGTAATCTGACATCGTATTAGACAAGTGTATGATTATTATTATATTCTGATTACAGGATACTGTAAAATCTCCATTCCCACCCCACTCCAGGGGAAGGATACTGTAAAATCACGGTTCTCCGAATGACTCAAGATTTCTGCTACCGGTTCTCCAGAACTGGTCAGAACCTGCTGAGGTGGGTTTCAGAAGGTTCTGACCAGTTCTGGAGAACCGGTAGCGGAAATTTTGATTAGTTCGGAGAACCAGTAGTAAAAATTCTGACTGGCCCCACCCCCATCTATTCTCTGCCTCCCAAGTCCCAGCTAATTGGGAGGAAATGGGGATTTTGCAGTAACCTTCCCCTGGATTGGGGAGGGAATGGAGATTTTACAGTATCCTCCCCCTGCCACGCCCACCAAGCCACGCCACGCCCACCAAGCCATGCCACGCAAACCAAGCCACACCCACAGAACCGGTAGTAAAAAAATTTGAAACCCACCACTGGGACAATCTATAATGGGTGGGGAATGATGGACCCTGTTATAACTTGTAATAACTTTATAACTTGTAATTTTTTAACATGAAAGCTGGGACGTGACCCCTAAAGTAAAGACAAGGATAGAGAAAGCTCGAACAGCATTCTTCAAAATGAAAAAGGCCTTCTACAGTCACGACATAAACCTAAGACTGAAAATCAGGCTTGTCAGATGTTACATCTTTTCCATCCTGCTCTACGGAGTAGAGAGTTGGTTTCTGACAGAAAGCCCCTTTGAACAGACTAGAATCATTTGAAATGTGGATTTACAGACGGCTGTTACGTATAAGAATTCTGGGAGTTGAAGTCCACAAGTTATAAAAGGGTCCATCGTTCCCCACCTCTGCTCTATTAGTTCTCATTGGAGACATTTGATTTTTCCCCCCCAAAGACATCAACTTGATCTTTCCAAAAGATCTCTTACTTTCTCCTCCAGATAGAGGATCCTGGCCAGAGCTTCTCCAACCCTGATGTCAGGGGTTTCTTCTTTTCTGCCCAACTCCCGGCTCAGAACCGAGACAATGTTCTCCAAAGTCTTCTGGCGGCTTTCCAGCTCAGCCACCTGCTGCCTGATTTTCAGATCAGGGTTTATCTGCTCCAGCAGATGGTCCAGGGGGAAGCCCAGATTCACAAACTGGGGCAAGGTATTACGAATCAGCGGATGTTGAGATGGCATGATTCCTTCCACTTGTCCACTGGGCATCTGTTAACAATGGAAGTCAACCAACAAGCACAAATCATTTCATTTTTCATTTTGTTTTATTTAATTTGTATACCGCCCTAATCCCGAAGGACTCAGGGCAGTGAACAGGCACCGAATAAAACACGTAAAATACAAAAATTAAGAACAGAAGTAAAATCGAATTAAATCAATTTAGCCCAAGACAAATTTAAAACCCCAGGTTAAGAACAGATTAAAATTTACATTAAAATTTACATTAAAAAAGAGAATGGGAAAGGTTAGGCCAGACCAGCCTGGTGAAATAAAAAGGTTTTAAGAGCACGGCGGAAGGTGCGTAGATCCGGGATCCTCCGTATCTCCGGGGGGAGCTCGTTCCAGATAGTAGTTGCCCCCACAGAGACATTGTTTGGCCGACGGCACCCGGAGGAGACCCTCTCTATGAGAGCGTACCGGCCAGTGGGAGGCTGTTTGCGGCAGCAGGCGTTCCCGTAAATAACCAGGCCCTAAACCATGGAGCACTCTAAAGGTGGTAACCAAAACCTTGAAGCGCACCCGGAAGACCACCGGGCGCCAGTGCAGCTTGCGCAGGAGAGGTGTTACATGGGAGCGCCACATCGCTCCCATAACTACCCGCACGGCCGCACTCTGCGCCAGTTGGAGTCCCGGGTGCTCCTCAAGGGGAGCCCCATCTAGAGTTGGCACAGCCCTTGGGTTCTAATAAGCTAGTACAGGTAGTCCTTGACCTATGGCCACAATTGAGTCCAAATCGTCTGCTGCTAAGTGAGATACAGGTAGTCTTTGATTTATGTCCACAACTGAGCTCAACATTTATGTTGCTAAGTGAGAAATTTGTTAAGTAAGTTTTGCCCCGTTTTACGATGTTTCCCATCACGTTTGTTAAGTGAATCACTGCAGTTAGTAACATGGTTGTTAAGTGAATCTGGTTTCCCCATTGACTTTGCTTGTCAGAAGGTCGCAAAAGATGGTCACATGACCCCAGGATACTGCGAGTGTCATAAATGTGAGTCAGTTGTCAAGCATCTGAATGTAAATCACGGGATCATGGGGATGCTGCAAAGGTCACAAGGGTGAAAAATGGTTATAAGTCCCTTTTCTCAGTGCCGTTGTAACTTTGAACCGTCACTAACTGTTGTAAGTTGAGGACTACCTGTAGTTGTTAAATGAACGTTGCCCCATTTTACGGCCATTCTTGCCACAGTTGTTGAGTGAATTTACTGCAGTCAGTAGCAGAGTTGCTAAGTGAATTTTGACTTTGCTTGTGAGAAAGTCACAAAAAGTTATCAGTTGACCCCGGGGTATTGCAACTGTCAAGCCTGAAATCTGACCAGGTTGTGAGGTTGTTTCTATCCTGGGTTATTCTCACATGAATTCAGGTTGACACAGTTTGGAGCCTGGAGATGGAGTCTTCAGCCAAAACAACATAGTTAGCTGGTAAACCAGAGACCTTCCAACAGCTGGCTGGCCAGAGGAGGAGTAGAGAAGTTGCCAAGCAACCAGCTCTTGTCCTGATTGGACAGTGTGACATATTGTTTTGGGAAAATGAGAAACTCTTACTTTCAGTAGGGTGGAAAGCTCAGGAACCTTTAGTACTAGCTTTCCACCAGTTCGTGCCAGTGGTGAAAACTGAACAGGTTAGTTACCGGTTCGCTGGCTGTGCATTTACGCCAGGCACCAAGCACACACTGTGCGTGCGCATGCACAGTTTGCACCAAAGGCACACTGTGCGCGCATGCACACTACATGCCAAAAGAAGGCTTGGGAAGGTAAGTAGAACAGCGGCGAGGGGGTGGGGAAATCAGCTGTGGCACGCGATCTTGGGAACTTTTAAAAAAAACTTTTTTAAAGCATTTTTTTACTACCTATTCACCTGAACCGGTAGTAAAAAAATGCTTAAAATGTAAAAAAAAAAGTTGCAACAATCAGCTGAGTGATGCGCGATTGTTTTTTTTTAAGAGGCTTTCTTTTTTTTTTTTTTAAAGCCTCTGACGATCCCAGCTGACTTGCCTGATTGGCAGAGGCTTTCTTCTTTTTTTTAAAAAAGCCTCTGACAGTCCGAGTTGACTTGCCTGATCGGCAGAGGCTTTTTTTTTCCTTTTAAAAACATTTTTTCTATAACCTCTTCAGCTGAAGAGGTTGTAGAAAAAATGCTTTTCAAAGCCTCTGATGATCCCAGCTGAGCTGCACAATCATCAGAGGCTTTTATTTTTTTACTTTTAAAAGCATTTTTTCGGCCAAAGAAGTTGTAGAAAAAATGCTTTTAAAAATAAAAAGAAAGCCTCTGATGATTGCGTGGCTCAGCTGGGCAATGTGGGGGCAGGGATTTTTGCTACCGGTTCTCCGAACCACCCGCCTCCATCGCTACCGGATTGGGCGATCCGGTCTGAACCGGGAGCATTTCACCCCTGCTTTGAACGGATGACTAAACAAACTGTTGTAAGTCAAGGACTTACACACACACACGCACCACAATAATTATAAAACATGAAAACGTGAAACCTACTTTGTCAAAATTGATGAGGGGCTCAATTTCCTTCTCTTTCAGATATTCAGAAGAGGTTGTTCTGCTACAGCTGGGAAACAAAACGAATTTTGTCAGATAACCTACCAAGATCAAAACATCCAAGCCATGGAATTCTCTGGGATGCTCCCCGAAAGTGAAAGTTGGACTTCAAAGAGGCAATATGGGAAGAATATTGACACCTCCAAACTTTGGTACCAGTAGTCCTCAATTTATGACCACAATTGAGCTCCAGATTTATGTTGCTAGGTGAGAAATTTGGCAAGTGAATTTTGCCTCGTTTTACGACCTTTCTCGGCACATTTGTTAAGTGAATCATTGCAGTTCTTAAATTAGTAACTCGGTTGCTAAATAAATCTGGTTTTCAAAATATGACTTTGCTTGTTAGAAGGTCGCAAAAGGAGATTCACATGACTCCGGGACACTGCAACTGTCATAAATGTGAGTCAGTTGTCAACCATCCGAATGTAAATCATGTGACCATGGGGATACCGCAACGGTCATAAGTGTGAAAAACTGTCATAAGTCACTTTTTTCAATGCCGTTGTAACTTTGAACTGTCACTAAGTGAACTGTTGTAAGTCGAGGACTACCTGTACCGGAGACGACTCCTCCAAACACCACGGGCAGCCTAACTAAATAACTAAATGACTAAATGACTAAATAACTAAATGACTAAACGATTAAATGACTAAATAACTAAATAACTAAATGACTAAATGACTAAATAACTAAATAACTAAATGACTAAATAACTAAATAACTAAATGATTAAATGACTAAACAACTAAACAACAACTAAATAACTAAATGACTAAATAACTAAATGATTAAATGACTAAATAACTAAATAACTAAACAACTAAGCAACTAAACTAAATGACTAAATAACTAAAAGCATACACACATACCATGGACAGCCTAAACAAACAAACCACCATGGACAGCCTAAACAAATAAACAAACCAGCAGGTCATTAAACAAAGCAACTCAGAGTCCTCCCTTAAGGCACAAATGACCAGGTTCTAATGAATCTACTTTGGACTCACGATGCAAAGACCCAACTCTTTGGAGAAGGCTCTAATGTTGGAAACAATGGAAGGAAAGTGAAGCAAAGGATAACCAGCAACAAAGGGGAAGGAGTCAGTTACAGTGGCAATGGGTACAATCCAGTGGTGGGTTTCAAATTTTTTTACTATCGGTTCTGTGGGTGTGGCTTGGTGGGCGTGGCTTGGTGGGTGTGGCAGGGGAAGGATACTGTAAAATCCCAATTCCCTCCCCACTCCTGGGGAAGGTTACTTCAAAATCCCCATTCCCTCCCCATCCCACTAACCTGCTCTGGGAAGGAATCAAACTCCCCACCTCTTCATTTCCCCAAATAAAATATTACTCATAAGAAAAGGCTCCCAGAAAAGCAAGGAAAAATCAACCTGCTAATAAATGAACCTGCCTGAGCCTCATTCCACATTCCTGCCAGCTGCATAAAGGAAACTTTGTAAGAAGAAAACAGCTACCATTAGTTAGAGATAATAGAAAGTAGAAGCCGGAAGTTCAGCTCCATTTACAAGCAGGCAGAAAAAACTCATTCAAGACAGGATATTTCACAATGGAAATCGCCCAAACCTTTTTAGAAATACAAAGCCCGTGTTGCACAAACCCCAAAACTTCAAAAACATAGAACCATATAAGAATCCCTCCTCTTATCCAGTTTGTTGTTCAGATGACCCAGAAATGAACTGCTGAATGTCACTTCGCTCCTGCAAGTAAAAACCTCCTTCCAGCAGCTGCTTCTTGGCTTTTCAATTTAAAGCGAAGGTGTCTTGTTTCTTCTTCTTCTTCTTTGCCAAGCGATCTCCCGGCTGAGAAGCGAGTCCTGATTTTTTCCTTCTAGCCGATCAGTTGGGAGGCTTCTTGGCTTGTCAATTTAAAGCAACGGTATCTCGGTTTTTTTCCCTCTTCTTTGTCAAGAAAATGAGCCCTGATTTTTTCCTTCTAGCCTATCAGCTAGGAGACTGGGAGGCAGCGAATAAATTGGGGGCGGGACCAGGCAGAAGTGGTATTTACTGGTTCTCCGAACTACTCAAAATTTCCACTACCGGTTCGCAAGAACCGGTTGAAACCCACCTCTGGTGCAATCATTGGAAGACCAGATTAAGGACAGATGGAGGGAGAATCCATGTATGTGGACATTGCTTTCATCCAATTTTTCTATATCACATTCCCCCCCCCCAAGTTTTAATGCTGGATTTCTCCATAAAGTAAATTTAGCATGGGGAAAAGGATTGAATCCGTTTTTATTAGACATTCCGTTCCATAGCTTTGTAACGGATATAATTGTTTCCAGAGATGCTACAGTTCTATTGTATTTAGATCCTAATGCTGTCCACTTACTTAGCCAAAGGTGCTATTTATAGATATACCAAAGTTGCCTAAATCGGAAAATTTAATATCAAATATGGAATTCCAATATTTAATAATATTGCTTGGGGATATAACTGCAGATTCAGAAAATGGAAATCTCGCTCATTAATCGGTAATTGCATTTTCCGTACAAACATTTTCAGAACTGGAGAACCCCATAAAATTTTTCTAAAATTTCCAAGTCATTGCAAGAGTGACATGGGCAGTACCTAAATTTGATAAAATAATTTTTTTTTCTTTTTTTCTTTCTTTCTTTCTTTCTTTCTTTCTTTCTTTCTTTCTTTCTTTCTTTCTTTCTTTCTTTCCTTCCTTCCTTCTTTCTTTCTTTCTTTCTGCATTCCTTCCTTTTTTCTTCCTTCCTTTCTTTCTTTCTTTCTTTCTTTCTTTCTTTCTTTCTTTCTTTCTTTCTTTCTTTCTTTCTTCCGTTTTTCTTTTTCTTTCTTTCTTTCTTTCCTTCTTTCTTTCTTTCTGCCTTCCTTCCTTCCTTTTTTCTTTCTTTCTTTCATTCTTTCTTTCCTTCCTTCTTTCTTTCTGCCTTCCTTCCTTCCTTTTTTGTTTTTTCTCTCTCTCTCTTTCTTTCTTTCTGTCTTTCTGTCTTTCTTTTTCTTTCTTTACTTCCTTCCTTCTTTCTTTTCCCTCCCTCCCTTCTTCCTTCCTTCCTTCCTTCTCCCTCCCTTCCTCTTTTTATCTTTTCTTTTTTCTTTTCTTTTCTTTCCTATTTTCTTTCCCCTATTTTCTTTCTTTTTCTTTTCCTCTTTTTCCTCCCTCCCTCCCTCCTACTAACTCTCAACTGCAAGATGGGAAATATAAACTTAAGAAATAAATATAAATAAATAAAACAATCACGGAAGTTCTGGCCCCAATTGGGGTCTTACGTTGAGGAGTACCCATACAGACCCAATACTTTCACCAATACCTTTAAAATGATCATATCAGCAGTACTGCACAGCTCTGACTCTCTCCTTGAACGAGATTGGTTTTCTTCTATTTATTAAGATAACAGCCCCTGTCTCCTGGATTTCCCCCAGGTTTCTGCCTATCACATAATCATATGCCTTTTTTTCTTCTCCCTTCCCTGATGCCTCAGACATTTTTTCCACTCACTAGATCACCAGATGATACCACATTTGGGGGGGAGGGGAAATTTTTCAGCAGTCAGAAGAAGACTTCTCAGGGAAACCCCAGGGGGTAACATGTGTGGTGAAATCTTAAAAAGATATTAGTGGAGTGTTTTTGGATTTTGGAGGGAAGAATCATCTGATACAAAAGTTGGCTCAGGGCTTTATGGAGATTCTCAACCATCCAGGTCATGGTGGTCCCAAAGGTGCTTTTTCCAAAAGACAACTGGAATTGATTTTTTTTTCTCCCCTTGAAAACGTTTCACTTCTGAACTGAAGAGACTTCTTGAATGAGAAGCGAAATGTTTTCAAAGAAAAAAAAAAAAACCCAAGAAACACCAGTTGCCTTTTAGAAAAAGCACCTTTGGGACAAGGTAGCCCAGACGGTTTCTGCCAACCTAGCAGTTCGAAAGCACGTAAAAAAATAAATAAAAATGCAAGTAGAGAAATAGGGACCACCTTTAGTGGGAAGGTAACAGCGTTCCGTGCGCCTTTGGCGTTGAGTCATACCGGCCACATGACCACGGAGACGTCTTCGGACAGCGCTGGCTCTTCGGCTTTGAAACGGAGATGAGCACCGCCCCCTAGAGTCGGGAACCACTAGCACATATGTGCAAGGGGAACCTTTACCTTTACCTTAGCCCAGAGGGTCTTCTCAGAGGCAAAAGAGAGTCATTTCTAGAGGTTCTAGGAGCAAGTGAAGACCTCTCAAAAGCATTTGTAACATCTCCTAATCCACACACAGCATCACTCCATTTGGACTGAAGCCTGCCTGGAAAAACCATGCTGCATTTTTGAGGCTCCTGAATGGCTCAGTTAGAAAGAAAACTTTCATTTCTTCCATTTTTGACTTTGTCTTCCAGTCTTCTGTTCTGCTATAAGATGTTAAGAGGATAGAACGGATCGTCACTAAACTCCAGCCTGAGTTCCCCATCCTCCATTTGGTGGTGGTGCGGGGGAACTGGATGAAAAATGCCAGGGCATTTTGAGGGCTCTGGTCTCAAAGACATTAGAAAGGTTTGGAGGAGATTGAATTAGGATTGTGTTGCATCTACTTGATATTTGAGGTGGAAGAATTCAGGAAATCCCAGAACTTGAGGCTCATCCAGAAAACAATCACAGAAGGAGAATGATGTGGCAAACCATTTCTGCATTCTTGCCAACTCATTCACTCACTCACTCACTCATTCACTCACTCACTCACAAAGAACGGTTGCAGGAACTGGGTATGTCTAGTTTCATGAAAAGAAGGACTAGGGAAGACATGATAGCAGTGTGCCAATATCTCAGGGGCTGCCACAAAGAAGAGGGAGTCCAGCTATTCTCCAAAGCACCTGAGGGCAGGACAAGTAGCAATGGGTGGAAACTAATCAAGGAAAGAAGCAACTTAGAACTAAAGGAGAAATTTCCTGACAGTTAGAACAATGAATCAGTGGAACAAGTTGCCTCCAGAAGTTGTAAATGCTCCAACACTGAAAGTTTTTAAGAAGAGATTGGATAACCATTTGTCTGGAATGGTATAGGGCTGTGATGGCGAACCTATGGCACAGGTGCCACATGGAGCCATATCAGTGGGCATGTGAGCATTGCCGTAGTTCAGCTCCAGCATGCATGACTGCGCCGGCCAGCTGATTTTTGGGCCTTCTGGTCCCACTGGAAGTTGGGAAATGGGCTGTGTCCGGCCTCTGGAGGGCCTCTGGGGGGGTGGGGAGGCCGTTTTCGCCCTCCCCAAGCTCCTAGAAAGCCTCTGGAACCTGGGGAGGGTGAAAAACGGGTCTACCGGGCCCACTGTGCCATCACGTGTTAAAAGCAGGGGGGGGCATGCGCGCATGCGTGCAGTGCATTGAATTATTTATTTATTTTATTTATTCATTTTATTTATGTAATTTATATGCCGCCCTTCTCCCGAAGGACTCAGGGCGGCTTACAAAGAGACATTCAACAAATTCGAAAATTACATAAAAATTAAAAATCCAATTAAAAATTACTTAAAATTATTTCAATGTGAAAATCCCCCAACGGGTCAGCCCATTTCATGAAAGAGCCACGTCTTCAGTTCGCGGTGGAAGGAGAGGAGGTAAGGGGCTGTCCTAAGCCCGGTGGGCAACCGGTTCCAGAGGGTCGGCACTCCCACAGAGAACGGTCTCCCCCTGGGGGCCACCAGCCGACATTGTCTGGCTGACGGCACCCTGAGGAGGCTCGCTCTGTGGGAGCGCACAGGACGATGGGAGGATGGCAGGATATGGTCCTGCAAGTACCCCAGGCCTAAGCCATGTAGGGCTTTATAGGTGAGCACCAGCACCTTGAAATGAACCCGAAGGACCAGCAGCAGCCAGTGCAGCTCGCGCAGGAGAGGTGTCACACGGGAGTAACGAGAGGCCCCCATAACAACCCGCGCGGCCGCATTCTGGACTAGCTGTAGCCTCCGGATGCATCCCAAGGGCAGCCCCATGTAGAAGGCGTTACAGTAGTCCAACCAAGAAGTAACAAGGGCGTGGGTGACCATGGCAAGGGCATCCCGGTCTAGAAAAGGGCGCAACTGGCGCACCAGGCGTACCTGTGGGAAAGCCCCCCTGGTCACGGCCGTCAGATGATCTTATGGGTGTGGGCACACACATGGGTGACTTCCCCGCGCTCCCCCCACTTTTGGTAGGTGATGGCAAAAAGGTTAGCCATCACTGGTATAGAGTTTTCTGCATAAGCAGGGGGTTGGACTAGAAGACCTCCAAGGTCCCTTCCAACTCTGATATTCTATCATTCTATCACTCATTCACTCACTTTCACTCACTCACAGACACAGACACTGACACTGACACTGACACACACACACACACACACCAGCAGAGTAATTAGTCTAGAGGTTAAGGCACCTGGCTGGAAAGCAAAAGACTGTGAGTTCTAGTCCCGCCTTAGGCATGAAAGTCAACTGGGTGACTTTAGGCCTTTCAGTCCAGGTATGGGGAAAATAGGGGGAGGAAGGTGCATTGGATTTGTTTGCCATCTTTGAGTTATTTGTAAAAGTAATATAGGCAGGATATGAATAATCTAAACAAATAAAGCACAAAAATCATCCAAGTTGAGCTCATCCTGAAGCTGAGTTTGTTTCAGTAAATGTTCCCCCAAAATCTTTTTAATGTGTAAACTACGATAACGTGCCTCAAGGCCTCTGAGATATAATAGTCACGGAGATGTTCCAGATTAACATGCCACATGCAGTTAGTTTTTTCTTTTCTTTTACAGAAGACTCTAATTTTCTGATCACTGATCTTTGCAAACAAGATGGCAAGAGTTTCAAGTTATTTCCATATATAAAAGCCAAAAAAACAACAACCCACCCCCATTCTAAAGGATCATAATAGAATCTGTCTGCATCTCCTCTGGCTTGAGCAGGAAACAAAGCCTTTCATTTTACCCTGT